CATAATGCATATTTATATTAATATCAACTTGGGTTATTAATTCTGTTGTTACATGTAATGCAGTGGTCTCAACCTTTCTAATGCCGCAACCCCTTTATACCCCGTAATTCCTCATGTTGTGGCGACCCCAAATCTTAAAATTATTTTCGTTGCTACTTAATGACTGTAATTTTGCTTCTATTATGAATGTTAATGTAATATATGATGTTCAGGAAGTTTTTCCATTGTTACAAATTGAACATGATTAAAGGATTGTGATTAATAACACACACAAAAATAGGTAATTATATATTGTGAAATATTTATGTCTAATTACAAATAAATGAGATTTTGTCTTGAAGCAAGGTGTAGCATTACAGTCTTAATATAACAATGGTAAACTATATTGATACATTTTGCGACAGTATACGTAAAAAGTCAACGTCAGTGCAAAGGTTGAGATTACGTCTTTCTTACCAGATCAGAAATGCTCGGGGCAGGCAGTCTTTGCAAGAGCACAACGAAGATGATCTTCCACAATAAGTCTACATTTAGACTTGATTATCATCAAGCTGAGAAACCCTGTTTCACAAAGATATGTCGTTGGAAATGGTTGACGAGGGCACAACACAGTCTCAGACAGAACAGCGAGGATATGACTGCAAACGCTTCTTTCTGAATTTTGTAACTGACATTGTAGAGAAATCAGTTCTCGCTGCATCGCTGTTAATAAGTTCAGAGTACTCCTCTTGTGTTGACTCAGGAAGATCTTACTCGTTGAATGTGAATGGAATTCTGGCAAGTGCAAATGAGGTGTTAGGTAGATTTGGAAAATACGATGAAATTTCGTCTGCAAGGATGGGCAATTTTTTCTTCACAGGATTTATCATCGTAATCCCTTTGTCTGGTTCACTGTGATGTTAAAAAAAAAAAAAAAAAAAAAAAGACAGATAAGATTGGCAACTTGTAAATTGTATTTTCATCCAATTTTTTTCTTTTTTGCCAAATCTGAATTTTCATTTGGAATTATCGCATCTTTAAAAAAAATCGACACCTGTTGCATTTGGTCCTTGCAATGATAAATTAACTCATTCAAGATTGCAAAGAAGTTAACAACGTAAGCTTTTTTTTTCTGCAGTTCAATTTTCTCACTAAAAAGTGCTTCGAACTGCGGTCTTGCTTTCTGATTGAAAAAACGTTGTGAGTTCATCACGAAGCTCAAAAACACGTTTCAAACGTTTCCTTTGGACAACCATCTCACTTTAGTGTGGAAGAGCAGAGTACTCTTCGGCGCATCAACTCGTTGCACAGTTGCGAAAATAGGTGACTGTTTAAAGTGTTCGCCTTTACACAATGGGCAGAACTTTTGACGCTTTTCATTACTGCTTGTAACTCTTGTGGCAGCGTCTTCGTTGCTAATATTTGCCAATGAATCAATCAGTGTGTTCCGATGACTTTTGGTGACTCATTCAGTACCAAACGTAAAATCCAGATCGACATCCTAGCATAGCTGCAGCACCATCTGTGCAAACACCACAAACCTTTTCCCAAGAGATGTAATGGTAAACATCCTAGCAAAGCTAGAGAACCATCTTTGCAAACAACACAAACCTTTTCCAAGAGATCTTATGATCTTTCAGAAATAAAACAACTGTGTCAAATACATCACGTGCAGTAGTTGTCGTTTCAAGAAGTTTTGCAAAAAAGAAACGCATCTTTCAAGTGGCCATCATTAATATACCTCACGTAAACTAGTAACTGTGAACAGTTTGCAACGTCTGTAGATTCATCAAGCTGGATGCTAAATTATATTGGGAGTGGAGCAGATTTAATTTCCTGGATTACCTGATAAAGATAAGTCAACTGATATGTCATCTATTCTTCTGCGGACAGTGTCGTTAGATAAGGAAGTTGCACTCAATTTTGTAACAAATTCGTCTCCGATCATAACGCGAACAATGTCTTTGGCCGCTGGCAACAGTAAATCCTCAGCAATTGTTTGAGGTTCCACAGCTCTGGCGATTCTGAGTGCCACCAAATATGAAGCTCCAACGGCTGCTCACTGCTACGTTTTGTTTGTGGTACTAGCCACCAGTGTCAAGGCTGGCTTTCTTGATTCCATCAGCGTTACTTCTAAAATAGTTGGTAGCCTTGCCGGCAAAGCTCGGATGTTTGCTATGCTATCAAAATGGCGTTTTAGTTTGTTCGGCTTCATAGATATTCGGCTGATAGAACTTCACAGCAAATGAAACATTGTGATTGAAAACAATGAAAACATAGATATATGCATACGAGTATACTTTTTATTTTGCATTTTATTTTTTGATTATATCACTATTATCAGGCAATCATCATTCGTTGGAGGCAATTTTTAACAGAGACGTAGATCTAACTTGGTAAGAAAGCATGCTGAGCTTACACTCACACAGGCACTGTAGTATTGATTGAAGGCGAAACTGACTTAATCCTAAACCGATATTTATTTTTGCTTTCAATTTTCAATTCAAGTTTATCGTAGATAACAAGAGTAGCATTTATTGTCCGGTGTGATTTCAGCATCGGACATTTGACCTATATTCTTTATTTATTTACGGTTTCCTTATTTGCCATTGGACTACATTTTCACTGGACTTGCCTGATTCTTCCAAAGTATGCACTATTTATAATCCGCGATTACCCGTTGACGAGCTGATGGGTGCAGTAGTTTTCACTGTCGGTTTTGGCTTGATTATGGTGTGAATGAATCACGGGGGATGATATGTCTGTTTTTGTAGCGTAACCAAATCAATCGGTTTCTAAGACCATCGGCATCGGAAATGTGTGTTTTCCAATGGTTATAGGCGGCCCCCGTGAAAGGGTCGCGACCCACAGGTGGAGAACCTCTGATGTATAGATGTACCGGTATCATCAGTAGTAGTAGCTATTCATCCGGTTGGTCCACATAATGGATGTATCATCTGGAGCTGTTCATCCTGTTGGTCCACATAATGGTTGTATCATCTGGAGCTGTTCATCCTGTTGGTCCACATAATGGATGTATCATCTGGAGCTGTTCATCCTGTTGGTCCACATAATGGATGTATCATCTGGAGCTATTCATCCTGTTGGTCCACATAATGGATGTATCATCTGGAGCTATTCATCCTGTTGGTCCACATAAGGGATGTATCATCTGGAGCTGTTCATCCTGTTGGTCCACATAAGGGATGTATCATCTGGAGCTGTTCATCCTGTTGGTCCACATAATGGATGTATCATCTGGAGCTATTCATTCTGTTGGTCCACACAATGCATTTATCAGCTGTAAAAAGACTGGCTGACTGGTTAAAATTTTATAGATTTTTCTGTGATATTTAGTACTGTCTGTGTTAGTGGTGTTTTAATGCTGTTTTTGTACTATCTGTTTTCATACTGTCTGTTTCAGAGCTGTCTGTTTTAGTGACTCTTGTACAATTTAAATCAACTAGTTTCTAGTGAAGCAAAGATTAAATGGTGCTTTTTAAAAATTATTAATAAGTACTTTCTAAATTATTTATATTATTAAAATATGCTTAAGACATACAGAGAGAGGGAAAAGATTTGTGTCAAAATAAAAGACATTCAAATATTTGCTAAATACATTTTCTTTATAAAAAGCAAAAGAAACTTGTGTATTTGAACAGATAACACCAGAGCTGTGGTGTGGACCCTGCAATCCCTGCAGCTACAGTGGGCCTTGATATTTAATGGGCCCAAAAATGTAATGTGGAAATATTTCAACCATTAACTTTGGATGCAGGGTGCACAAAACAGAGAATTGACAGGGGGTCTCCAAAGTCATGCGAAGGCTCTGGGTAATACTAATACTGATTAAATTAGTTCCTGTACAGATAATACTAATACATAACACAATTGGAACCAGTACGGATAACACTAATGCATAGCAAAATTGATACCGGTACAGATAACACTAATACATAACAAAATTTACCAGTACAGATAACACTAATAATAATAACAATACACAAAACAGCAGCATTCGAAAAATATCTGATGAATATATTACTAACGTATTAGAATATCAGGTACAATAACATAAATTATCCCAGCTGCCTAAATTCTATTTACTGGATGTTGTTGAAGTTGATGTAGCTGTAGTAGCTTGACCTAATGACGTGGCAGATTGACCACAGATAACAGATGATATACCGGTACCAGTTGAATTAGACGAGCTAAATGACAAGGCAGATTGACCGAAGACACTAGATGATATAGATGAACCAATTATACCAGATGATGATGAAGTTTGACCTAATAGACCAGATGATGTTGTAGATTGATCAGATGATGATGTAGAACCAAATCGACCAGTTGATAAATTTGGACCAAATAGACCAGTTGATGATGTTGTTGAACCAAACAGACCAGATGATGTTGTAGATGGACCAGATGATGTAGTTGAACCAAATAGACCGTATCGGCATCCTTCCGTCTCGTGAGACGATGGTGCATCACCGTTTGGTTGGGTTGCATTTTCTCGAGTGGCTGTGCAGTTTTATCCTTGAGTGACAGTCTTTACCACAGTTTTTACACATGAGTTCCGTGCTTCTAAATAGACCAGATGATGATGAAATTGGACCAAATAGACCAGATGATGCTGTAGATGGACCAGATGATGTTGTAGATTGACCAAACAGACCAGATGATGTTGTAGTTGAACCAAATAGACCAGATGATGATGAAGTTGGACCAAATAGACCAGATGATGATGTAGTTGAACTTAATAGACCAGATGATGATGATGTTGGACCAAATAAAGCAGATGATGTTATAGATTGACCAAACAGACCAGATGATGTTGAAGTTGGACCAAACAGACCAGATGATGATGAAAATGGACCAATTAAACCAGATGATGTTATATTATAACTTATAGATTGACCAAACAGACCAGATGATGTTGTAGTTGATCCAAATAGCCCAGATGATGATGCAGTTGAACCTAATAGACCAGATGATGATGTAGTTGAACCTAATAGACCAGATGATGATGAAGTTGATCCAAATAGACCAGATGATGATGTAGTTGAACTTAATAGACCAGATGATGATGTAGTTGAACTTAATAGACCAGTTGATGATGTGGTTGAACTTAATAGACCAGATGATGTTATAGTTGGACCAAATAGACCAGATGATGATGAAGTTGGACCAAATAGACCAGATGATGTTATAGATGGACCAAATAGACCAGATGATGTTGTAGTTGAGCCAAGTTGATTGGCTGATGCACCAGATATGGTGGAATTTGTAAATAAACTTGATATTACAGAAACAGAGTTTGAGGTGGGTGTCTCTACTCGATGTCTTGCAGTTCTCCTTAGAACCTTTTTTGGTATAGGGCTGGGACTTGGAATGATTTGTAGAGATGCACTAGAGATGACTGGTACAAATGAGCTACTACTGACTCCAAATGGGCTGTCTATAGCTGTTGCTTTAGATGTTGTAGATGTAATTGTATTGAAGCCCCCAGAACATGACTTTGTGTTGGACGCGAGCTGGAACAATGGAGTTGATGGGAGCTTGATTTGTGAAGTTGCCAAGCTAGGATCAGCAACTTGAGTGACTTGATTTCCAAAGCTTGTAAATGGTGCTAGTGAAGAGATAATACATTGATATTCTGATTTGATCTCAGCATCCATTTCTCTGTAGTCAAGATCTCGAAGTTCCTGTTAACAAAACAATAGAGTAAAAATGTATTGCTGAATATCAAGAAAGTAGCTGACTTGATAGAATGAAATCACCAAAAGAAAGATTAAAATAAACCAATTTGATTACTGCATAGATAAACCAGATTTATTATATAAGAGACATTTTGGCTGATTGTCTTCCAACTTATCAACTTATCTTGGTATACAGTTAGGTGGCATGCGTGAAAAATGCTGGTACCGTCAAGGATACCCATTAACACAATGTTTACACTCTGCACTGCCTGGATATCCGTATGATCCATATGTAATTTTAGAACATAAAATAAAGAGCTCTTCATAACAATTTGAAAGATACATTCCTACTAACAGTCACCCACAAGCCATTTCCAAATGTTTAAGAGAAAGTAGCCATGTGTTTGGCAGTCCATTTGCTATGTGGTCTTTGATTAAACGAAGACAAAATACCTCTAAAGATTTATTTTCATATATTGTCATAGCAGTTATGCACTGATGCCTTGTGTTGATGTCCCTTGTTGTACCAGACTTCATGATTGAATCTGTGCCATATGGGGCATTTAGGGTGACAGGTGTTCCCTTGGCATCTCTTATGGGAAATTTTCTGAATTTAACCACCTATGGAAAAGATAATGATCCACATATAAAGGTTAAAACCAATAATTTAAGTAATCATATGAAAAAAATTGACATATTTATTTTCCTTGTAAATGATGTATTCAATATGGAATAAGTAATTTTGATGTAATAAATATTTAATATAATACATTTCAGTTTATTTAATGTATTTTTTACATGATGTGACCTTGTGCATCAATATATTTAAAAAATGTATTTCCATCAGATAAAATCTTGTCGTCAATTTGAGAACCACTACACAACCAAACTGATTTACTTCAGTAATTTCACTTATGCCTTCTTCTGGTGAACATACCCCACAGGCAGTGGCTAAATCATCCACAGACCAACTGAGTCATTTCCACTAAATGAAACATATAGCATGTCATTGAGTGTCATGGCACAATATGCAATAGTTAGCTTATCATGTCACACTAAATGAAATAGATAGCCTATCATGTCACACTAAATGAAATAGATAGCCTATCCATTTAGATATATATACAGTAAACCATTCATACAGATAATTTTTTTTTAGATTTACTGCAAAGAGGACAAAATAAAACGGGTTACGTTTAAAAGAACATGTAACTTGACAAAGAAAACGGGTTATGTTTAAAAGACCATGTAACTTGACAAAATTTTTATGTATTTCTAACAGCACTCACCATGTTCACAGCCTGAGCTCTTAATGAGGCTGAAATTAAAAAAAAATAAGACATTTAATTTTTTTAAACTTGGAAGGTACCGGTAAATTTGAAGTTATTTTAAAACATTCACTAAGTGCTCTATTGTCTTTAAAATAGTTGAATTGTAAGTAAATTAAAAAATGATATCAATATTTCTTTGAAAACCTTGCTGACTCAGCAGTTGTCAATGTTTACCAAATATTGGGGAAAGTAGGTAATGCTAATATTACCAGTAATGTCAGAAATATATATATTTTTAAGACTGTTAATATTACCTTTAATACAATCGACATCATTTTTCAGGAGGTCAACCTGACAATTCAAAAAATTTTTTTATTTAAAGATTTATATAAACAGATACATTTGACACATTTGTGTCTATACCTTCGGGCCTTTCAACCCTCAGTTCATGATACCCTTGTTGAGTGGCCCTTGCAACCAGTCAAATATCCTCTTCAATACCAGCCACAGAAACACTGCCAATCCCCTCTACATATATAGGAGCCAGATTGATCAATACATTGATCGTGGGCTCTTAATATATATAGGAAGAAGAAGTGCATTTGTTTATTTTTTAAAAATCAGATTGCACAATCCAACCTAAATTTCTAAATGTTTGGAGCATTCAAACCTTGTCCTCATTTCATATCAGATATAACTGGTTGAAAAGAAAAGAATCTTTCACTTGCCAATATGTCAACTAAAACATTTCCTTTGTTCATTAATAAAGGCTCTTTTAGTTCCCCGTTTGATAAAATATCAAAATTGCTGATATAGATAACAAAATATTCATCATGTGTTTTAATTATTTCAACAATCACCCCCCTTATCAATACCAACAGTCATTCCCCATATGAAATAAGGGTTGTGGAGTAGATCCTTAGTATGATGGGCAGATAATTTTTAGGGGTGTGGATATCAAAAGGGGCATTTGTGGGTGTAGAAAAAAAGGGTTTTTGGGGAAATTCTGTGTATTTGTGGGAACAGAAAAGAGGCATCTGAAAATATGTGATAAAAATGGAAGGGGGTAATGAAAGGGAAAGGACTAAGGAAAATTTAATGCTTTACTTACATGTCATATGAATGGTAATTTAGAAAAAGAATTTGTACAAGAAAATATCAAACATGTTATTCAGCATGTTAATTTTTGTTGAATAAAAAACTTATTTTACCTGCTTTATAAGATGAAATGATACAAAACATCTAATGAATGTAAAAATAATATTGAAATGAGAGATTAACCTGTTTCCCAAGCACCTGTTGATTCTTTGTCATGATATTTAAAATTTTCCCAAAATTCTTTGATCTGTCCAGGCAGGAATCCAGGCCTTCAAAGCGTTTCAAGAATAATACTTTCATCATCTCATACTGAAAAACATGAAATAATCAAACTCAATCCTTGAGGCAGTTATAGAGACAGCCATCTTCAAATAAAGATGAGGAGACAAACCTTCAATTATGTCAACAAATGCTTTATTTTTTCTATGATATGCATCACATTATTTATGTTTTTTATATTAGATGCAATTTAATAGGCCAAATAGGACCAGATAATAAGCTAACAAAAGATTTAAGAGGATATCAGACATGAGTGTTTGAGAATGGTAGAGAAAAGATGTGACCAAATTTATAAACAGGGGCAGAGAGTGTTTGAGATTGGTAGAGAAAAGATGAGACCAAATTTATAAACAGGGGTAGAGAGTGTTTGAGATTGGTAGAGAAAAGATGTGACCAAATTTATAAACAGGAGTAGGGAGTGTTTGAGATTGGTAGAGAAAAGATGTGACCATAATTATAAACAGAGGTAGCGAGTTTTTGAGATAGTAGAGAAAAGATGTCACCATTATTATAAACAGATGTAGAGAGTGTTTGAGATTGGTAGAAAAAAAACATGACCATATTATAAACACTGGAAGAGAGTGTTTGCGATTGGTAGAGAAAAGACGTGACCTTATTTATAAACAGGTAGAAAACCGTGAAAAGACATCAGGAGCCAACAATCCTTTTTTTTTTTTTTTAAATATATGTTAGACTGAATTTTAATCCCCAGGAATCTACCCTGTTTAAACCACTTTAACTTACTGGACAAACAAATATTTCTACCAACATTAAGATAACTGACATTAACCTAACTGACATTAAGCTAAGTGAACTGACATATTTGTTTAATAATAAATAAAATGGAAAAATAACTTTTTAATTAAAATGTTTCTCCAACGACGTTAAAATATTTATCTGATGATTTTAAAATGTTACTTTTAAATTATTCATAATTTCTTAAATTTTAAATAAAGAAAAAAAAAATGAAATGTTCGCTTTTCTTATTTTATCATTAGATTTAGATCATTTTGATCCAGCAGCTTTTCCAAGAAAACACCCCATAGCCTGAGGTTATGGTTTCAGAACAACTCCTATAAACCTCTAGTGTTGCCCCAACCTTTTATCCTTCTAATTCTAATGATAAAGATTGGACTTTGGGATGAACATTGCAAAAATTTGATTTCAATTACGTGAATTGTTAGTTTCAGCAAATACATTTTGGCAATAACAATCTTTTATGGCATTGATAACATTAGGATAAAAGAGAACTAGAGATATCCACTGGATCTAATAGATAGTGTGCATATTTTATATATTTTTTTAGGAAAAACAGATACTAATACAACACTAAGAATATCAGCTATTTCTCTTCATCCATTGAAATGGTGCTACTGACCTCCAGCCCAATCCATTAATAATGATCCACATATCCAGAGTCGAGCCCCATTAATTAATAATAATGTCTCCATTTTGATCCTCTTAGACCTCAGTGCGGCCTTTGACACTGTTGACCATGAAATCCTTTTCAAAACCCTTGAAAACTACTTTGGAATTTCTGGTTCGGTTTTGGCTTGGTTTAGGTCCTACCTCTCTGATAGAACGCAAATGGTCTCTGTCGATGGCTGTCTCTCCGGCAGTGCTGATTTGGTGTACGGAGTGCCACAGGGGTCCGTTTTGGGTCCGGTTCTATTCATAATGTATACCAGACCACTACTCCTCTTGCTCGGGAGGCATGCTGTTGAGAACCAGTCATTTGCAGATGATACACAGCTATACATGCATACCCATCCATCTCTTGTCGATTCCGCTGTCCAGACTTTGCGGGGGTGCATTGATGATGTCAAGTCTTGGATGACACTCAGCAAGTTGAAGCTTAATGATGACAAAACAGAAGCACTCCTCATTTACAATCACAAATCATCCTCTACCTCAACTCTTCCCACCTCATTTCAAGTAGGTAACTCCGACATACAGTTTACACCCTCTGCTAGGAATCTTGGTTATATTCTTTCTAACAACATGTCTCTCGATAAACATATCTCTCACATTTGTCGTTCGGCATACACCGCCATCCGTCAGATCAGCTCCATCCGCCACTACCTGACAGTTAGCGCAACAAAAACTCTAGTCTGTGCTCTTGTTCTCTCTCGTCTTGACTATTGCAACTCACTTCTGTCAGGTTCACCGAAACATTTTATAGAAAAACTGCAGAAAGTTCAAAACTCTGCTGCTAGGCTTGTTCTTAAGGCAAAAAAACATGATCACGTCACTCCACTACTCCACTCACTACATTGGCTCCCTATACAGGCACGCATTGACTACAAGCTGTCTCTTCTCTGTCACAACTTTTTCTCGGATTCCTGCCCTTCCTATCTAACTGAACTTCTTTCTGTCTATTCACCCCTTCGACAACTTCGCTCCTCCGCAGACTCGCGTATTCTGTCCGTTCCCAAGACACGCACTAAATTATATGGTGAACGATCTTTCTCTTTCTGCGCCCCCAAACAATGGAATTCTTTGCCACTACACATCCGCAATATAACAACCACACAGGCCTTCAAAACTGCACTCAAAACACATCTATTTAAACTATACTACTCTGACTGATTCTCCTCCTATAAACCGATAAACGTACATGGGTTTCCTTGTAAAAATGTCTGGTGTGGGTGGATGAATATACCTATGGTGTTGTTTTGCTTATATGTTGTTTTTATTTCATTTATGTATTTTATTTTAATATTATGATTATGCCTCTTTGCTATATATGTACAGCGCGGTGAGCCCAGCCCTAGGCCGGGGTACCGCGCTATATAAGACCACTTATTATTATTATTATTATTATTATTAATGAGCCAGAAACCCAGAGTTCTAGTTATAAACTATACATTAGTACAAAAAAATTAATTAATAAATAAAGCAGGAGGAAAATATACATATATCTATAGGGATGAAGGTAAGGCAGGGGAACATAATGAAGGTAAGGCATGGGAACATATCTTAGCAACAGTAAGGCAGAGGAACATATGTTGGCAATAGGCAAGACAAAACCTATAAAAAGGGAATTCCTTCTTAAGCAGAAATCAAAGAAAATCATGAGTTTATTTTGTCTTCTAACATTCCAATGGAATATAAAATATGTTCTCAGACCTGTTTACCCTCAAACCCTTAAAATCGTACAATATCATCATATAATCTTTCAATACATTCTCTTTATAGAGCAAAAACGTGCTGTATATATAATGTATACACCTCAAAATCGTACATTGTACGCCAAAATCGTAAGAGTAAACAGGTCTGTGTTCTCTCTACAGTCAGAAGAACAGACATCTAGGATTGTTAGAAATGTTAATGAGCTAACCTTGTCTCCCACATCTTTCAGAGAAGACAATAAATCCTTGTGTGAAAAATTCCAGCCAAACATTTCAGAAATACTCTGTAACAAGTTTATACGATATATAATAACTTTTAATTTCCTAGATATAATGTCGTTAGTCATTCTTTATGATCATATTATTTTTCTTAGTCAAACGGTTTAAATAAATGGTAGATCTCTCAACAGAAATTAAAATATTTCTTTTTTTACAAAATCATTTGTATGTTTTATTTATAAATATTTCTTTTCAATTAAGCTGTGCATGATTTTAGTTGATTTTGCAAATATAAGCTGATTGTGCATGAATGGAATAGTGGTTGCAAAGTGGCAATAACCTTTCCACTGATGTCGTCCTGTATTTTGACAATGCTGTTCATCTGCTCCTCACTTAGAGCCAATAAAGTTTCTTGTCCAAAAATCAATTGACTCATTTTGTCTTCTAGTTTGACCTTATCTCCATTAAGCTGTGAAAAGATGTTTATAAAAAAAACTATCACACTGCATTGACAAATATAATTTATTTTTTATGGTTTAGAGATTGCAGAGTCTGAAACTTGATATGACACAAGGACCTAGATATGACACCAGGACTTTGATATGACACCAGGACTTTGATATGACACCAGGACCTTGATATGAAAGCAGAACCTTGATATGACACCAGGTCTGTGAATCATCGACAACTTGGATGAGATTGACACCACACATCTATTTTCTTAATTTATATAAAATATACATATTACTCTGTCTTAAATGAACAATGACTGATCTGTTAAACAGAGTATTGGTAAATTTTAACATAAAGAATCCTTAAAAAAGAATTAGATTTCAATTCAAGGGATCAATTCAAACATTAATTAAAGATGATATTCCAAATTGACAAAAATTAGGTTTATGCTATCCACCTGAAATTTAAGTTTTAAAAATATGTTTCTTAAATACATGCAGGACCATAATGTTTTAACATTACTTCATAACTCCACTTTTAAATGGAGTCACTTGTTATGTGTCAGGGTCAGGGCCAGAGTCATGGTCTGAAATGCATAACTGTTTAGCTTTCACTTTTTTAAAAGTTATTTTAACTTTAAAAAATTATATTTCATCAAAATGATTTATAAGTTTGAATAAGTTTTGAGAATTAAGTTGATTAAAATGCACACATTTAGAGACATTTTTAAACATTTGATTGTACCATGACAATATTGATTATCATTAGTACATACCATGAAATAGTGCTCAGCTTCCTGAATCTCTTCAAGCATTTTCCAGCACTGCTGAGTGTCATAAGTGTTATCCTCAACACTCTCAGTCAAACACTGCATTCTTTTCTCCACAATATCTTCAATGAAGGATCTACCATTTCTTAAACTAATAGCAACTCTACATTCCAACTTCTTAACTCTGCGTAAGGTTTTATTTGCCCTATTGTTTTTTTTTTTATGTTTCAAAGCTTTTAAAAAATTTCTAATATTTTGTGTGAAATGCTTTCTAATTTTATGTTGTGTCTGTGAGTCTGGGTCCAGTTTAGCATGCAATAAATTTATTTGCTCCTCCATATATTTCTGTTGCTCAATAACACTTTGCAAAATCTTAGAATGCTCAGTACTTTTCAAAGACTGAACAGTCACATCTTGCTGTAGTTTTGAAAAGTTTTCTTTCACAATCCCTATTGTCAACCACTGTCCCTTAAGCTGTTCCTCCAAGGCTAAAAATGAATGACTTTTAGAAGTATTACTATTACCTTGTGTTGCAGATGAAAAATTTAAAGTATTTGCTGGAGCATCATTCTCATTTTTAAGTGTCTGTTGCCTGACAGCAACAGTTGGTTGCCTGACAGCAACAGTTGATTTAATGGTTGATATTTCATCAATTATTTCAGCTAATTGCTGTTTTATCTTAAGAAATTGATTTTCAAATGCAAAGCTGTCCACCATAACCCTTTTCATAGACACAACCTCAGACTTAAGGTTTTTTAACTCCTCTGAAAGGCTACTAGGCTCTACCTCCAACGAAACATCTATTAGCTGCTCTGAAAGGCTGCTAGGCTCCATCTTAAAAAAAAAACATCAGCAAGAATATAACTAAATTAAATTTTGTTTTCAAAAAAACCAATGAAAAATTGTTTAAAAGTATTTTCCACTGAAAAAGAGAAATAAATTGAAGTCAAAACTGCAGAGATTCAAAAGGAATAAGACACATAAACTAAATAGGAATGAAATAAAAAAAAATTCTTGAAAATATATAGAAAAAAATTGAATTGTAGAGAGCATTACTTCTCTAAGTATCAAATTTTGCATCTTAATATTGAAACCTTTTTCTCCCCAAAAGATATACTAGAAAGGTTTCCAGAAGTGGTTTAAAAATCAGCTCTCATTCCTTTGTTAAGAAAGAAAAGAGAATAATTTGTGGGCCTTAAAGAAAGAGATTGATAATAAGCTCAAACACCCTGTGATTTGAAACTCCCCCCCCCCCCAATTTTTTAAATCCATACCAGATATCCATCACTTTGAGTTTAAGTCAACCTTTTAAATAATATCTTGACGGAGCAAAATAAATATTTTTGTGTCACATTTTGGTCACATATNCCCCCCCCCCCCCCCCCCAAAAAAAAAAAAAAATCCTGTTGTTTACCATTCTTTAACTTGTAATAAATTATATATGGAGACAGGGCCGTCTTAACAACATAGGAGGCCCTGGGCACAGCAATGCACTGGGGCCCCCTAGCAACACAAAACACCTGGGCTGTGAAAAGGGGGACAAAGGGGGCAGTCGCCCCATGCTTAAACAGAGGGAGAGGGGGCAAACAGTTCCTGCTCCCTACCAGCTGGGAAATAGGGAATTTTCAATCCAATTATCAATTAAATTGTCAAAATCTTTCAATATTCATAAACAATATGTCAAACATGATGCCTCTATAAGAGTGAGTCTCCTAGAAATGTGGGCCCCCCTAAAAGCGTGGACCACGGGCCAGTGCCCACAGGGCCCATGCCTTAAGATGGAACTGTATGGAGATGCCAATCATTGACTATAAATTACATCTTACAATAACATTCTGGATCGAAGCAAGTACGCAACTGAGGCAACTACAACAAAATTTGATCCCTGTTGCCACTGTTGCAAAAATCCTATGAAGTGAACTTTTTGCCTTTAGTTAATCTGGCATTGCAAGTTACCGGTAACTAAAAGTTAGTTTAGGTTTCAGTTTCAGCAAACATCCCACAAGTTAGTTTGGAGGTTATGATATTGATCAATAACAACATTTGGGAATTAATTTACAATGTTTATAAATGACTTAACTTAACACTATTTTGGCATGTTCTCCCATCCCCCCCCCCCTTTTTTTTATTCCCAATCTCCATAAATTTGTAGACATTTTAAATTTTATATAAATGATACGCTTAAATTTAAACGCTTAGCACTAACTTAGCCGCACTTATTTCTACTTGACGTAATTCCTTAATTTTAATTTCACAACGTTTAAAAAGTTTAATAATAATAATTTATCTTAAAGTGTAAGTTACACTTAACCTTATTACCTGAGCTACTCTTGATTCAGTTACGTAGTTTATTTTGTATACTCATTCAGAAGTAGCGTATTAATTAGTTTTAAGAAGTCATAAGTCACAAGTCGATAAGCTATACAACATTCTTAAAGTGCAAACTGTAACTTAGTAACTTGACTCAATTCTTGGAATTGGAAATGAAATTCAAACCGGTACCGGTATTCGATTATTTTCCTGTTACCCGGTACCTCCAATTATTCCACTATGCCATTCTCGTCAGTCGACCAGACACTTTTTGTCGAGTTTTATAATTCGTATAAAAAGCAGTTATGTTCATGAATAAAAAGTTAATGAGGCCTTCTATTTTGTGATTATATTTTTTAAAATGAAGGGGAAATTACAATTACATCATAATGTAAATTTCAAGACAGTAATCGATTACGTCTTGACCCAAAAAGTAACCCACTTTGTAAAACAAAACCAATATCAATTTAACTTTAGAAGTTAAGTTCGTTAATCTGTAACAAAATCATCAATATACTATTTATTTGGCTTGGCTAACACAAACTAGTTTAATGAATCACGTTACTTTAAGATCTTAAAATTGTATTCTCTCTCTATTGGAATTGACTGTTTGACCGATGATTGACCTGAATTAAATTTCGATCCAATGCGGCTTAAAAAAATCAAGATTTAATTTTTTTGCATGACCTGTGTCTGTTTATAGCCAACAGAATACATATTATGTATTTAGGAGTTTTAAACTCCTGGATATGTGACCCAGGCCCAGCCATTGGTTGAGTGGTTTACCACCGTAAAGGACACTTGTCAGGAAATCCAAGAATTTTCTATATTATATTCTGAATCACTAAAATTAATAGGGCTACTGGCTTACTTAGGTTGCGGCTTTGTTTGACTTTAAGTTTAAGCATCACACACCCTACAAAATTAACCATCCCCACCCCCACCAAAAAAAACAAAAACAACAACTTCTAATTCATAGAGACCTGTAGAAGTTAGAAAATAAACGCGTGGCTAATACATTTAATAAGTAAAATGTTTATGATTGAAAAAAAAAAAATGAAACATTTTTATTTATAACTTAAAGCAGCATTTCCCTATTCTTTTTCTTAAAAAATACATAATCTTTTTTTGAAAGGAGGGGATCTCCTAGGTTACTTATAAGTTATAATAGACTATAAAAAGGAATAACAGATCGATCGAGCGGAAATTTTATCACTGACGTAGGCTACATTGTAGTTGGAATGTAGAGGTAGAAGATTAACTAACTACGTTATTACTTTAAGCAAGGCAGTACAAGTGGCCATTCATGAATGACGCCACCCTATTTAGGCTGACTCCCCCCCCCTGCCCCCCTCCTTTTGCCTCCCCCAAATCATCACACAATTTAGATACACAATAGACGTCACTAATTCATGACCCATCTCCACCGAAATCAGTGATGTCATTTATGTCAAATGATTGCTAATAAATCACACACCGTTACATTTAAAAATAATTATGCATTGAATGCTATTGATATTGGCATTGGCACATTCACTAATTTAGTAACTAATTAAAATTGAACATAATGAATATATAATATAGTTATAGTTATAGGGATCGGGATAGCCCTTTAATAAATAATTTAATTAATGTAAGTTACAGATATGTTTTAATTTCCCCTTTATATTTAATAAAGAAGCAAAAGTTAAAATAATTTAAATGCACATTTTAATGTAGGCTAAACATTTTACTATTAATTGAATTCTTACCAAATAATGTTCATTTTGTTTTGTACTGTTGACGGTCTTAGATTCAATTATTAATATGCCATTGAGCATGCGCACTTTTCACCTGGCAACTTAAAGCATCAATATGGCGGATGCGATACACTTATTTACAAAATCTCGTTGGCGCTAAAACAATCACATTGATTCTTGTAAGAGAAGAATTTTTTTATCAATTCCATTGTATACTTATTAAAATATGTTAACGTTTTAAAAACTTCTATTAAACTTTGATCAAACTTTCAAGGGCCTATTTAATTAATATAAAATAAATACCGCTTTTACTAAAAATCTAAAATGTAACTAAGACTATAAAAATTGTCCTTTTTTAGTCTTACTTTAAGTTTAAATTTTTAGTAAAAGCGGTATCCGGTATTTATTCAGATTCAGTAAAGAGTACAAAAGACAATAAAGTAGAAAGTTAAAGTAAGTAAGTTTAGTAAAACTAAGTCTTTGTTACGCTTAATTAACCATACTCAGACTCAGGTCATACTGTAACTGTAAGACTCAAGACTACAGCTATAATCATTTATATCTATAATCTACATCTGGGTACTAATACTAATAAAAATAATTTCTCTGATTGTATCGGTTGTGTCAAGACTCAAGTTGTGTATTAAAAGTTACATTAATAATATAGTAATAGTAAAGGCTAAGCAGAAGCTAAAAATCTGAAGTTAAAAAATGTGTTTGGCTTGCGCATTGGAAACTGTTTCCCTTTATTAACTGTTCCACAGATTTATAAAGATGAAAATTAATAAAGATCTTTTTATATTTTAAATTAAATTGATAACGAGAGCCATTTCCGACAGCCTATTTATTTTTTTTGCGAGGGAGATAACTGGTCTCAACTCACATATTCATAATTTAAAAATTATGAAATGCATAACATTATTCAAAAATTACTATTATTAATGAAAAAAGTTATTCCCATTTGTGAACATATGATTATGAAGTAATAGCACGGCTATTTAAATAACAGTTAATAAGTTGCTGGTCACAAAATTCAACATATGGCAAAAATGGTGTCAAATTTTTTTTGAAATATATATGAGCTCCACATCACTGATGACAAGATAATTAAATATTAGAAAATGCAACAATCACCGATCAGCCAGACCCTATTTGGTCACAAAGGTTTTTGCTTCATTTTTGACTAGCATGAACCATGTGCGCAAGTGAGTTTTGTGGTACCTAATTAAGGCATGCATTTGGCATGATTTGGGAACAGCCATAAAAACAAAATCATACTTAAAAACTTAAAAAATATATTTATTTGCATCTCATATTCTGTTGGCTGTAGTTCATTGTAAAAGAAGATTTTAAATTTGTGTTTTAAATTGCTTAATACTTATAAATCCGGCATCATTTGCACCAATTATAATAGTTATAATATTATTGGTATAGTATCATAAATAATTATAATTAATGCTAAATTTTGTAGTTCCCCTTTCAAAAAATGTTTCAAGTATAACATTTTCGTTATTTTAATCCTAAGAATTACTTTGGTAGTTTCAGATTGAAATGCACAAGAAAATAAAATTTAAAAAATGTCTGCTATATTCACAACATCTACTGCAGCTCAAGATCCTGGAATAGGACCAATGAAAAGTGAAGAAGTCAAAGAAAGGTAGACACAAAACTTCAATCATGTTATTGTTAAGTTTTAATGTTTTATTACAGTATTTAAAAAAACAACAATATCACATAAATACAATCATTTGTAGAAATGTTAAAATTTCTCATAATCATATGTATATTGTAACCAATGCGAATAAAACCAAACACAATTAAAGATTTGTCATAGTATTAAGATACTATCATAAAACATAATGACAAATTGATGACACTTTCACCCCATCCCCTCCATATGCTTTATATTTATGGATGACTCCATATTCATACAATAAATAAACCAACAAAACAAGATGAAATTTTACAGCCTGTATTAAAATAGCTTAGCATTATAAAATAAAAAAAAAATTATAAAACCATTAGTCTAAAGCTAGCTTTATTGTTAGTATTTCTAAATTGTACCTTAAGATCAGTCTTTCTTTAAGGACTTGGCTAACACATCTTCAAAATGCAAAATCTGTTGAACAGTGCCATACAAAAATAAAATTACTGGACTCACTATAACAAAAATAAAAATACTGGACTCAATATATCTCACATCTGCCACTCTAGTCCTACTTAACACCAGGATATGGTGGTGAATGATTTCCAGGTCTTTGGTGCTGTCAATTTTTTTCAAATTGGAAGAGAATCACAATGCCCCTATTTTTGGAATTATCTGACTCTTGTGTATGTGACCCAGCTTCTACCATGGATTACTTAGGCCCCTCTGTATGAGTTAGACTTAACGCCTCAGACATGCTGTCCATCCACTTGAAATGGTCTCAACATATTTTAATATTATTGATAATTTTGGTTGTTGCTGGGTTGCCAGGGCATGTGTACAGAGAAAATATGTCCCCACCAACTGGGAAAGGTGAAGATAAACCTGGTCGGATAACTCACTAAATAGCAACAATGTATTGGTACCATTTGTATTTAAGCTAAACATTTCTGATTCATTATTAGTGTGATATAAAAAAACAATGACATTTTATAGTTACAAATGTTGGTTAATCTCGCTTTAGGTGGGATCCCAAGATCCAGGGCTAGCACAAATATAACTGGAATTTCAATAATATACAACGAATAAAGCATTATGTTATATGCACACGTAATCTCAATAGAAGCTTATGTTATTATTGAGGCTCAAGTGACTATTACATGATGTAAGGTACTTGTGAAAGTGAGTTGGGTTTATTCTGGTTAAAGAATCTATCTTCAAACTAAGTTTATGAATGTGTCACTTACTTTAGTCATACAAATAAACATACTTTAGTCATACAAATAATTTTAGTTTTTGCTTTGATTTAATTACATGTTATTTTTAATAATATTATAGGAAATCAATACCAATGGAAGGAAAACTAGAAAACAGACTTACAATGAAAGACTTGGAGAGACTGAGGAGTTCATTCATGGTATGATAACTGTCTATTCACTATTCAAAATTGTGATTCACATTATCTTTTCAGTTGCTTGAAGGAAAATGTATCATTTCTTAAAAAAAAAAATTATATTTTCATTTAGGTTTACTCTGTGCAGTCCAAAAATTTTGAGAAAAACCTATTGTGGCCACATATTGTTCATACAATTAAATACTTTACTTTTAATAAAGCTGTAATTATAAAAGTTTCCATAGCAGCATATAGCCTCCTAATGAAATTAAAGTCATTTTTATTAATTTTGATTCGCATTGACATTATTAACCTCCAGATTTTAAAAGAAAATTTGACCAAAAGCTACTCCCGCCAACATATTGGTACATTTAATATTTCATTTTTAAAGTAATAAAGCTATTGTAATAAAATTGTACACAGTAACAGATAGTGTCCAGATCAAATTTTGCCAGGTCTCAACTGCTTATAAAGCTACTGTTTTTGCCTTGTGCAAACCATTTTTTATATTTCTTTGTACCTTCAGTTAAGATCTATAACTCTGGGGAACCAGGGAAGTAATAACCCCAGTTGTATTGTGCTATAGAGAAATTGGCATTTTTGACAGATAGGAAAGGGGTTCAAGCTACCCTTTTTTATTTACATTTAGTTTAGAAATAAAATTATTATTATAGAAAAGAACTTATTTTTTAAAACGTTATGTTGGCCATTTTGTTATGTGCTCGACATTCCAATTGAGGTAGGTGCTTAAATGGAGAAAGAAAGAAATTTAAGCCCAAAATGATCTTACAAAACCCGAAATTGACTTAGATCAATGGATGACTTCCGAAGTGATTCTTCAGATGAATGTCAAAAAGAGGAATAAGAAACATTGGATGAAGATGTGGATGAAAGGATAAAAAAAGTTCAACCTAAACTAATAAAAAATTTTAAATCCAGTCTGAATATAATATTTTACTTTTCCCTTATATTTTTTGTTTTTTTAATTTTGTTCGTTATTTCAGTTTTCACGTTTTTCAATAATTTAGGTAACATATAACTTTTTTATTGATTATCCAAACCTCCGGAAATATTTCGTGGAGATGTTCAGTTATCAACAATAAACATTTGGTTGACCTAGAATTAAGACAGCTCTCTTAGAAAAGAAAATAGTTTAAAGATGTCACCCATCCCCCTATTTTTCGAAAACAAAAAAAATGGAGTAACTTTTTGTGACCCTGTACAACTAGTTATCACATCAAAAAGTCACATATTGTGACCCTGTAGATTTGTAACTAATTATTAATTTAAAAAGTTGTGTTATTTAAAGATTTGATAAATGTTAAATTATGTTTGTTTAAAATTGGCTGGCAATAACATCATAGCTGCAAAAATCTTAGTGTTTAAAAGAAAAAAAAAGAAAATGGTGGAGGTTTTTATGGGTTGGAAAGGCAACCTATGGAATTTGTTTTCTAATCTGCTTTTTTTACAATGCCAAAGAAAGTGTCAGTAAAAAATTCCCATTTGAAGCCAAACAAAAATTATAATCCAAAATCCTTAATCATATTGTATCCTATATGATCATCATTCATTTCTAAACAATTAAATATCTAATTATGGGTATTAATCAAATACTTTTATATAAACTTCACTTTTGTGTGTGTGTGTGTCTTTCTGGCTGGGTAGCAAAACCTTCGAATGGCTAATTGACAAATTTCCCATTAATCAATTGAACTGAAACTTGGGATAGAGACTTGATGCTGACGACTACACATTCTTTCAAATTTTCAGCCCCAAATAACCAAAAATCAGTTTTCCTAGGTTTTTTTCAAGGGGAAGATGAAGGAATTATGATTCCACTCATTTCATGAAATAAATTTCTAGATAACTCCGCTAAATGAGATTCTTAAAAATCTCACAAGTGCGTTTGGTGTGTAATATTTTCTATTGTTTTTCTGAAACAGTTAGTGTAATAAATGGGCCGTATAAGAGGGGTTGGGTAATTAGAATATTATAATTATAAATTGAAATAATTAAAAATGCATTTAAAGGATTTATACGGAAACTTTGTTTTTAGAGGTTGATTAATTTATGGTTTTCTATGGCTTGAGATGACCACTGGACTGCAGTGAGATGACCACTGCACTGCACAGAGTTAACTTAAATATTTACTTTTTAAATTAATTTTCTCAAAGTAATGGAAAGTTATGGACTAGAAATATTTAGATGTTTCTTTTTAAAGAAAATTTTTTAAAAGATACAACCAAAAACATTAATTTTTAGAAACCAATAAATTATAAGTTTTTCAGTTGTCCTATTTGATGACTTTTCATGACTAGTTATGACAAATGTTATCAGATTCAAGGGGATGGCTATGAAAATAAACTGAGTCTTTCCAAAGATCAGTTTGGTGAAGCCTTGTCGCTCCTCCTGAAGAAAGGAACAAGGGAAGAGGTAATTTGAGTTTTTAATACATGTTTTCAATAAAAAAAACAATATCAATTCTTACAGACAAAATTATAAACCACTTTTACATACCTGATAATATAGCCTGACATCAACTTAGTATTTAAGATGAATTAAATTTATAAATAATATGTTTTCATGCAACTGTTAGTATGCAGAGCTGTTTGACAAAATCGATGTTGCAAGGGAGGGAACTGTGGACTGGGACAGTCTGGCATCTCACATGCTGCTAGAGTTTTATGAAAGAGATGACAGGGTCAAGTCGACCCAGGTGCCCCAATGGAAGGACATAAAAGTTTTACCCAGGTGGAGGATGATTGTTAAAAACAACATAACTATTTATTTGTAGATTTATGTATTTATGGTTTGTGGAAGGTGGGTGTGTCTCCTTTTAAATAAGTTAAGTATTCATTTTAATGAGAAATGTATTTCATCTTTATCTTCCGTTCAAATGATGAACATTTAAGAACAATAAATTATTCTTAATTATTGTTTCATCATTAGTAAATGTACATTAAATAAAAAATGTACCTGTATTAAGAATATTATCTTATCTATTTCAATATTACTTGTCTTTTCCTTCTCAGTCCTCACAAGGAAATAGTACAGAGAGTTGCATTTTTGAAGAATACTAACAGATATGTGGCTATCAGCAAGGTGATTACTTTAAAATATATCTTTAATATCACCAGAAAATAATAAATTCTTGCAGAATGCTTCCATCTATTGAACAAAATTGGTAATTATTTTTAAAATTGTGAATTGTTTACACATATCACCTTCAAGTGAGAGCTGGATTTTAAAAAAAAACAACAAACTCTAATCTATTGCCACCTTCACTGCTTTGTCAATGTTGTTCTTTTTTGTCAGTTTAAAATGTTTCATTGATGACAGTAAAAATGAATTTTGTGACATGACCATGTTGCCAGGAAGGGTGTGTATCTATGTGGGGAGCTGACCTGAAGCCGCAGAGATCTATCAAAACTGGGACAGATGCCTGCAGGATGAGGGATGTTTGGGTCACTCACTTTGCCCCACTTCAGAATTTGAACAAAATAGCATTAGCTTTCACAAGCAAAGAAATAGGTATGAATGTTTTGATTACTCATTTTGCCCCACTTCAGAATTTGAACAAAACAGTGTCATCTTTCACAAGCATGGAAATAAGTTTACATTTCCAAATTATAGAGAAGAAAACTGTAGCCATTCATCAGAAAAACATAATAAATTTAATTTAATCTATATTTTAATCATTTTTAAAACCATTAATCTTATATCTTTTGGCATTGAAAACTGTAACTAATAATTAATATCTTCTTGAAAAAAGAGGTTTATTTTTAATTGACAAGAATATTTTGAGATTTCAAGGAAATGCCACTACCTTATTTCTCTTTATTTGTTTTACAGCTATCTATGACTTGAGCAGTAAACTAGAATTTAGCTGCCAGTACAAAGTTCAAGGTTTAAAGTTCACACCCTTATGTTTGGATTACTGGTGAAAAGTCTTCAAAACTAATGCTTCTTTTAAAACAAAATTTCTATGAATAATTATTATGCTGTTACTGGTTTTTCTTAACTTACCTTAAAGTCAGATATATTTTTCTCAACTTATATTAAAATAAGATATATTTTTCTTAACTTATATTAAAATAAGAGATATTTTTCTAAACTTCTACAAAGAAAGAGCAGTAGAGACGCTGTGAATCCCTTATTAATTAGTACTTTGTACAATTTAGTGCAGCCGTGTCAACTGAGAAAGGTGTATGAATCTGTGAAAACACAAGGTGTCAGTGTAAATAATATATGAGGGAGATCAGGACAACATATTCTTTCTTGAAGTTACTTTCAATAAAACTATCAACTTATGTTTAAACTGGCAATAAAAATATCAAATTATGTTGACACGTACAATAACACTATCAAATTATCTTGTTCACACTGACAATTATTATTCAGTCAAATTTCTTTGATTCTCCTCAGGTACAATCCTAACAATGTCAATGATGCCATTCTTGTGTGGGGGGATGTTGGTGGCTATGTCAACATCCTTTTCTTCAACTCAGCCAACATTGCACTTTTTGAGAGGCCCCCAGCCCCACCTGGGGAGAAACAAGGTATTGTTAGATTTGTCAGAGTTTTGTCCCTTCTTACTTTATTTCAAAGTGATGATTCACTGTGTTTGAAAATTGTGCCTCTGATTTATTGTAAGATATATGATGACGATGAAAAAGTCTTCAATTGAGGAAACTGATGTATGGTTTTAAGAAAGAAAAAAGTGTGCAAAGATGTATTTATTTATTTTTTTAACTTCGTTGTAATGAATATTTCCGATGCTCCTCACAGAGATTGCTGGGAAATTAGGTTATCACATTACATTATAGCTACATCAATTAAATTAAATTAGCCACAAGAAACAGCAACCAAATGTATTCCTTATGATATGGTAAAGATGTAGTTTATGTGATTGGTAAAGATGTAGACCATATGATATGATCAAGTTGTAGTCCATATGATATGTTCAAGTTGTAGTCCATATGATATGATCAAGTTGTAGTCCATATGATATGATCAAGATGTAGTCCATATGATATGATCAAGATGTAGTCCATATGATATGATCAAGATGTAGTCCATATGATATGATCAAGATGTAGTCCATATGATACAGTGAAGTTGTAGTCCATATAATATGGTAAATATTAAATTGTGCCAAACAAAACCCTCAAATGTTTTGGCCAGAGCCCTTCTTCTTCTTCTTCTTCTATATCTTAAGGGCCCACGATCAATTTTGTTTTAAATAATATATTTCATATAGGTCTAATTCCTGATCAAGCATCTTTTATTGTATTTTTTTCTCTTCTTTTCTAGTTTTTTTTTAAATTTAATTTTTTTGTTTTTTGTAAACATTTTAAATTTTTGTCAGCAATCACATCTGAAGATTTTAATTTGGCCTGGTTCAAAATAAAACATACCTTGTACTTGCCAGATTCCAGTGTTTTACTTCTGGGTTGCAGTAATAGACTCTATAGAAATGTCATTATATGAAGGGTTGCAGTAAAGGATTCCATAGAAATGTCATTATATGATGGGTTGCAGTAACAGACTCCATAGAAATGTCATCATATGAAGGGTCACAGTAATAGACTCTATAGAAATGCCATTATATGAAGGGTTGCAGTAAAGGATTCCATAGAAATGTCATTATATGAAGGGTTGCAGTAATAGACTCTATAGAAATGTCATCATATGAAGGGTTGCAGTAATAGACTCTATAGAAATGTCATTATATGAAGGGTTGCAGTAATAGACTCTATAGAAATGTCATGATATGAAAGTAGCTGTAAGAAGCTTAAAATGAAATGTTCATGAATTAGGCCTGCTATTTAACCATGCATGATTCTGTTTGTCTGTGGTGTTATTTCTGCAATTTAAAAGCATTTAAGCCCTTTACCCTCACTTCATATTTGAAGCTACTGCCAAGGGACACAATTGAATTGCCATCTAATATTTTTATTATCATATTTCTACAGTTTGGGAGCGTGAGTGAAATAACACTTTTATTTTAGTTTCATTTCTCCCACCATTTTCACATTTGTTGTCTTTATTATTTACCCTAGTCCGGTGGTTCTCAACCTTCTTAATGCTAAAACCCTTTAATTAATACAGTTCCTCATGGTGTGACGGGCCCCAGCCACAAAATTATTTTCATTGCTACTTCATAACTGTAGAGCATATGTGTTTTCAGATGGTGTTAGGCGACCCCTGGGAAAGAGTTATGTGACCTCTAACGGGGTTACGACCCACAGGTTGAGAACCGCTGCCCTAGTCCATTCAGTGGTCAAGCCTTTAGATTTTTTTATCTAGGATTCTAGATTTCTTACAAATAAATTTAAAAGTGACACAGTTTTAATTTTTTAAATCACATTTATTTATTTTTTTTCAATTTTCCCAATAATTGTTTAATATGCATTTTTAATTAGTAAGTACACAATTATTTTTTTTTCATCATTGCAGAAACTGTTATTTTAAAACAATATTTTATAGACATATTTCATTTAAAAAATCAAAATGTGGCTTCCCAATCTGCTTTATTGTTTGTAAATATTTTTTGTCCCTGCTACGCATCTGAAGTGTTTTCCCCTGAATTTAAATATTATTTTAGCAAATCGAAAATCTAAGGGGACTTTGTTTTAATCTCTAACAATCTGTTTACAATTACTTGGAGTTTTCATTGAACCTAAAACATTGCTTTATTAATAAATAAGTAAACATTGTCACATATTTGTGTAAAATAAAATTTTCTTTTAAATTATACATGACAAGATAACAATGAGTTCAATTTCAAATATAAATTTTTTAAACCTTTTAGCCTTAGGCTTTAATCCTAGTTATATATTTCAAATGGAATCTTTTTAAAGAAATTTATTTAAGTGATTTTGCCAACTAGAATAAAAGTTTTTATTTATTATTTAGCTAGTTTGTTTCATTTTTGTTTTCATATCAAATATTGTAATTTTAATTATTCAACATTCTTAGGAAAGTAAGTCATGCAATACATTCTTCGTAATGTAATGATGCAGCTTATGCAATATCACTAACTTTTTATAATTCCTTTGCTAAATGAGTAGTTGAAAAATGAATAAGAACATATGGGTATTTTCAATACTTTAATTAACAATTAAATGTGGAAAAATAAACTGATAACATGCAACATATATTATTATGGGCACATTCAATACTTAAATTTAACCTTTAAAAGCGGAAAAAACAAACTAATAACATACAACTTATGTTATTTAACCAACCATCTAATTTTCAAAAGTAGTTTTTTTTTTAATTTTAAAGAAAATTTAGTCTTCTACATTTATGATTGCTCACATTATTGTTTTTAATTTTAAAAATCTAAAAGCTAAACAAACTCCAATTTCTCAGAAATGTTATTTATCATTTACCATTGCTGTTCACTAGATTTGATTAGATTTGATTAGATTTGATTAGATAAGGGGTCAGTTTCCTATTGTTTTTTTTCCCCTCAAATTTAAACAATATCATTTAGCAGCTAGCAGGCATTTACTGTTTTTTGAATGGCTAGAGGAATGGTTAATCATCATGATTTATTTCAGATGAGCTGAACAATGTTTACATTATTTTTATTTAGGCAAGTCAAATATTTTGCATTAAATTTGTCCAAATTATGGGGAAATGAAAAGTATATATCTCCAGTAATAAGGCGTTAGACTGCCCCCTTTCTGCTTTGGTGCCATTTATCCCCTAAGTAATCAGGGAATAGAGAGAACATTCACCTCCAAGAGTAGGGCGGTAGAGGAGCAGGGCATCAACCATACCCTCTTTAAATGCCCCCATAGGCAAGTTATGGTGGAAGCAGGGCATCAGTGATACTTTCTCTACATGCCCCCATAGGCAAGAAATGATGTTGATATTTTCATAAAACCCAAAGATGGGATATATTCTCAAAAAAACAAATGCCCCCAATTTATTGGTCCTTGATAAAAATTATTTAAAACATTGCTACGCCACAGCTTACTTTTAATTCTATTGGTTACCTTGGAGATATTCTCATCATGTTTATTGTTCTAGCCTTGTGATGTTTCAAACTGACAAAAGATGATTATTTTATGTGCTTTATGTTTATTTTTATATTGTTATGCTCGGCAATCATTCAAAGACATGACATCCCTGATTCAAATCATGATACCTATTGCTTTAAATAATATGATATTTCTCTCAGTGGAAACTGTTTTGGAGGTTCCACTAAATGACACAGTTCAATTTTAAATTCAAATCATTACAAATTTTGTTCTATATAACAAAAATAAATTTGAGAATTCAAATAACTTCTTGGAGATCAGTCATTAATTATATATGAGTAGAATGGATTTTAAAATAATTTTTTTTCTTCTCTTGTTTGAAATAAAATTTAGTCAATATAATAATTTTATATAGTATAGATCACAATTTATTGCAAACATTGAATAATAGGAAACTCAGTTTAGATCACAATTTATTTCATACATTCAAAAATAGAAAGCTCAGACTAAATCACAGTTTATTGTATACATTGAATAATAGATAACTCCGTGTAGATCACAATTTAATGCATACATTAAATAAGAGATAACTCAGTCTAGATCACAATTTATTGCATACATTAAATAAGAGATAACTCAGTATAAATCACAGTTTATTGCATACTTTAATCATAATGCATAATTTAATTTTGTTTTATTTTTAAAGGACAATATGAATTTTTCATTCAACTAAATAATTTTAACATAAATTGTTTTCTATAAAACTAAAATGAGGATTATCTTTAACCTATTTAATCAGTTTAGACTAAGTTGTTAAATTTTGTTATAATCAACAGAACCTTGTTTGAACATCCAACTACAAGACATCGTCTCGGGGAAGTATAAAAATGCAGCATTCGCAAAATACGAGGCTCATAATGAGAACGGCAAAGGAGAATGGGTCAGAGGAGGTTAGTGCTGCATATTAGATTATATCTCATATCATAGTTTGTAAATGATTCAAATAATAATTATCTTTTGCATTTACACACAATTTGTGTAAAAAACACGCTGCTAACTATTCAATGGAATTATTTAAAATCACAAATATAAATAAAGTTGAAGCAGAATTTTTTTTTTTTTTTAAGACCATCAACGAGTTCTGTAAAATGTGTCTCCATTTCCTCTTTAAAAATGTGAAGTTACGAAAATAAGGCACAATTAAATAAAAACTATGATAGACTATATCTTATAGCTTTCTGCTAGTTGTGATGATTACATCAATCTTTTTTGAATCATCTTCTAAATATAAAATTTCCTGTACACTGAAACATCAGTTTTTGAAAAGAATAATTTTTTATCAATGTTTTATTTTGGTCTAAATGATTTAAATCTCTCAATAAATTACCATTAAAAAAAAAATAATTTTGGCAACTGAACACTATTTGTACACCTGCAACTTATTTGCCTCATCATAAACTTCTTTAGTTTCTGAGTTTTAGAAGAAGAAGATATTGCTCCTACTGTTGAAAGCTAAAATTTTTAGACTTGTATCACTTTTAATAAGCTTGGCATTATAACAAATTATATTATGGGAGCTGGCATCACTTTAAAATGCGAAGCACATTTCCAAGAATTCATTGTTTTTCGTGTTGAGATGCAATGCACATTTCCAAGAATTCCTTGTTTGTCTTGTTGAGATGCAATGCACATTTCCAAGAATTCCTTGTTTGTCTTGTTGAGATGGAAAGCACATATCCAAGAATTCATTGTTTGTCTTGTTGAGATGTGAAGCCCATTTCCAAGAATTCCTTGTTTGTCTTGCTGTCTTCCCCAGTTCATTATTCCCATTACTTGGAATGTTTTATTTCCTGTGCTACAACCACAACCAACGCGATGGTCATTGGTTGGCTGGTCAAACATACAAGTGTCAACCAAAATGTCAAGATTCTCAAGCAAGTTTTTTTAAGAACTATTTTTTTTAAATCATTGGGAATTTCTAATTGATGAGTTAATTTTTTTTTTTAAAGAATATGGAGAAAATTGATAAAGCCTTATTTTCAGTGTTGAAGATTCACATATTTAAATCACCTATATTCTTAGTTCTTCTGAACTATTTGAACCTACAAATAATTTAAGTACCTTATATTAATTTGCTATTGAATAATCTATCCACCTTTATTAAAACAAAAATTATATTGTATATTTTGCTTTTCTTGTTTCCAGAGGAGGTCAAGTTCCAAAGAAAGAAATACAAAAAAAGTAAATTATAAAGACTGCAAATTCGATCCATTTTTCAGATGCATCATTACCTATTCTAAACTTAATGACATTGCTAAATGTTATTTGTATTATTTTAATAGGCAAAGCAAAGTGTAAAATCAATAAAATTCTCTTTTTTCTTAGTCCAGGGAAAAATTTAAATGGCAGTTTATGAAATGAAAATTTACAATTGAAATTAAACCCTAACCCAGTAAACAATTCAACCCTAACCCTAAACCTAACCACTTTTAAATCCCTCTCAGCCTTCTGAAAAAATGAATATTCAAAATAGAAGTTCTCAGCCTGAATTTTCAAATACCAGTATTTAACCTCTAACAAATGTTTTTTTGAGACTAACATTTTTTTATGTGGTCCACTAAATATATTCAGGTTCGAATTCAACATTTCTCAGGGTGTGAATGCATTTGGTTACAGTGAAACATTAAATTTAATTGGTAAGTATTGTGAAATAGATCTTTATTAATAAGAGATGAAAAGACAGAAGAAACCATTAGACTTCGAAAACACATGTTATTCATATGACTAAGAATGATGTACAAACAGAAATGAAAGAAAAAATATGGGCCGTAAACAGGGCATATTTCAGTCATTTGTCACAAAATACTCAAAAGTAAAAACAGTATAAGAAAAATAAAGGAAATTATTTATAAAGCTGTTATCAGACTTGTCAGAAGACCTATTAAACACATGGGAGAGAAATGTTCTCTGGTGAATTTTATGGACCAACAAGGGATGAATATGGATGATAATATGAACCAACTATGAATTTTATGGGTTATATCGGGATCCCACGCAGGCTATGCTGAGTGGGACACTTAAAAAGAAGGCCCAATGACAAAAGGAATAAAGAGGGTATAACACCAAACTCCAGAGGAAAACAGCTGGAAGCCTGGCCAAGGCTAGGATTAGATGAATAGATGATGTTGAAATAGATCTACACTAGCTGGGAGTCCAAGCTGTTAGTTCTGTGTGGAAGGAAGTGGTGAGGCAGGTCAAAGACCTACATGTACTCTTGCGCCAAAGGATGATTGGATCTTTACTATATGTGATTTAGATGAATATGGTGTTTGCTTATACACAATAATTATAAATTGTTAAATGCTACAAGTTTATCTCATAGTTTTAAGATTATTGGCTATAAAAAAAAAAACATTGTATAGAATACTATACAGTATAAATAATTCAGTCATTTTTCTCCCACCCACAATGCATTTCTTTTGTGTGTTTGTGACTTCATACTTGTATTTCTTTTTTTTAATACAGCCACCGCTGGAGTCAACAACCATGTCTGTCTCTGGAACCCTTATGTAGTCTCTAAACCGAATGGGGTAAGCTCTGTCTCTGGAACCCTTATGTAGTCTCTAAACCGAATGGGGTAAGCTCTGTCTCTGGAACCCTTAAGTAATCTCTAAACCAAATGGGCTAAACTGTGTCTCTGGAACCCTTATACAGTCTCTAAACCAAATGGGGTAGTCGTTTCTGTGCATAAACTTCAACTTTGATATTTTTTTGTTACTAGGTAACTTTTTTTTCGAGTTTTTAAAATCATAAATTCATTGTAATCTCTTAAATTGATAAAGTCACATGACATTTCAACATCTTTGTGGACAGGGTATAACTTGTCACATACTGTTTAGGTGTTACGTGGTCACATGGCCAGTGTTGTACAAGTCCAGTTCATGACATCCAGGAATCAGCTGATCTCTTTCTCAAAGGATAAAGTTTTGAGGATCTGGGATGTCCAGCTACAGGTGTGCATCCAGCGCTTGGCAGGGATGTTCCCAAAAGGACCAGAAGGTCAGTAGACAGGACCTAATTCAGATAAGTTAGATTTTTCTGCTCTCAAAATTTCATTTACAGTATTTCGTCTTGCTTAGAATGCTAAACAGTGCCCTTATATGCAGTGATAATTTGTGTATGACGGTTCTCAAAAGGTGTAATGTGGAAATACATATTTTTGTATTAATAATTAATTCCATTATTTTAGTACATTATCTTTCTATAATGTTAAAATAAATCAGTAGTCATAAGTTAGTGTAATAATATAATTTCTATGACACTAATAAATATTGTATTGCATTTCTGTTCTAAAGCTAGAATTAACGTAAAATGTCTTTCCAGTGCCCACCATGTTGTTTTTTGATGATGGTAAGGAGAGGACCGGTCAGGAGAGGAACCGACTTTTCATCACTTTTAGCTACCAGATAACTCTGATGGAGATGAAGACAGAGATCAAAGACAGAGTTGTCAGCCATGAGAGGCCTGTGGTCACAGCTATTTATAACTCATTGTACAATCAGGTGGGTGCACTAGAAATCAGCAGATTTGTCAGCCTGCGGTGCACTAGAAATCAGCAAGGTTGTCAGCCTGTGGGTACACTAGAAATCAGCAGAATTGTCAGCCTTTGGTTACACTAGAAATCAGCAGATTCGTCAGCCTGTGGTGTGGGTGCACTAAAAATCTGCAAGGTTGTCAGCCTGTGGGTGCACTAGAAATCAGCAGATTTGTCAGCCTGTGGGTGCACTAGAAATCTGCCAGGTTGTCAGCCTGTGGGTGCACTAGAAATCAGCCGATTTGTCAGCCTGTGGGTGCACTAGAAATCAGCCAGGTTGTCAGCCTGTGTGTGCACTAGAAATCTGCCAGGTTGTCAGCCTGTGGGTGCACTAGAAATCAGCAGATTTGTCAGCCTGTGTGTGCACTAGAAATCTGTCAGATTGTCAGCCTGTGGGTGCACTAGAAATCAGCAGATTTGTCAGCCTGTGGGTGCACTAGAAATCTGCCAGGTTGTCAGCCTGTGGGTGCACTAGAAAGCAGCAGATTTGTCAGCCTGTGGGTGCACTAGAAATCTGCCAGGTTGTCAGCCTGTGGGTGCACTAGAAATCAGCCGATTTGTCAGCCTGTGGGTGCACTAGAAATCAGCAAGGTTGTCAGCCTGTGGGTGCACTAGAAATCTGCCAGGTTGTCAGCCTGTGTGTGCACTAGAAATCTGCCAGGTTGTCAGCCTGTGGGTGCACTAGAAATCAGCAGATTTGTCAGCCTTTGTGTGCACTAGAAATCTGCCAGGTTGTCAGCCTGTGGGTGCACTAGAAATCATCAGATTTGTTATCCTGTGGGTGCACTAGAAATCAGCAGATTCGTCAGCCTGTGGTGTGGGTGCACTAGAAATCTGCAAGGTTGTCAGCCTGTGGGTGCACTAGAAATCAGCAGATTCGTCAGCATGTGGTGTGGGTGCACTAGAAATCTGCAAGGTTGTCAGCCTGTGGGTGCACTAGAAATCAGCAGATTTGTCAGCCTGTGGGTGCACTAGAAATCAGCAGATTTGTCAGCCTGTGGTGTGGGTGCACTAGAAATCTGCAAGGTTGTCAGCCTGTGGGTGCACTAGAAATCAGCAGATTTGTCAGCCTGTGGGTGCACTAGAAATCTGCAAGGTTGTCAGCCTGTGGGTGCACTAGAAATCAGCCGATTTGTCAGCCTGTGGGTGCACTAGAAATCAGCAAGGTTGTCAGCCTGTGGGTGCACTAGAAATCTGCAAGGTTGTCAGCCTGAGTGTGCACTAGAAATCAGCAGATTTGTCAGCCTGTGGGTGCACTAGAAATCAGCAGATTTGTCAGCCTGTGGATGCACTAGAAATCAGCCGATTTGTCAGCCTGTGGGTGCACTAGAAATCAGCCGATTTGTCAGCCTGTGGGTGCACTAGAAATCAGCAGATTTGTCAGCCTGTGGTGTGGGTGCACTAGAAATCTGCAAGGTTGTCAGCCTGTGGGTGCACTATAAATCAGCCGATTTGTCAGCCTGTGGTGTGGGTGCACTAGAAATCTGCAAGGTTGTCAGCCTGTGTGTGCACTAGAAATCAGCAGATTTGTCAGCCTGTGGTGTGGGTGCACTAGAAATCTGCAGGGTTGTCAGCGTGGGCGTGCACTAGAAATCAGTCGATTGGTCAGCCTGTGGGTGCACTAGAAATCAGCAGATTTGTCAGCCTGTGGTGTGGGTGCACTAGAAATCTGCAAGGTTGTCAGCCTGTGGGTGCACTAGAAATCAGTCGATTTGTCAGCCTGTGGGTGCACTAGAAATCTGCCAGGTTGTCAGCCTGTGGGTGCACTAGAAATCAGCCGATTTGTCAGCCTGTGGGTGCACTAGAAATCAGCAGATTTGTCAGCCTGTGGGTGCACTAGAAATCAGCAGATTCGTCAGCCTGTGGTGTGGGTGCACTAGAAATCTGCAAGGTTGTCAGCCTGTGGGTGCACTAGAAATCAGTCGATTTGTCAGCCTGTGGGTACAACTATTAATAACTCTGTACTATCAGGTGGGTACACTAGACCTCTGCCGCTTGAGAAAAATGCTGTGCTAATGAGATGTGCATCAGACAGGGACCATCTAAAAACCTAGTGTCACAATGAGTCACAAAGCTGAGAGGAGTGAAGAAAAGTATTTGCACAATGAGATGTTTTTGTTGCTTTTATTAAAAATTTAAATTGCCTTAATAAAAAAATTGATGTCAAAACAATTTTAATTTTTAAATAGGTTATCAGTGTTTGCCAGGCAGGGACTCTCATAATGTGGTTTGTGGACACTGGTCAAAAGGTCAAACAGTTCAACAATGCCCATGGTATTTCTGAGGTAACCTGCATGACGCAGGACCACACAGAGACCCGACTTTTCACAGGGAGCATAGATGGAACTGTCAAGGTAAGGACAGCGGCATGTATTTGGTTGAACTGTTACACTAGGACTACACAGACAAAACTAGTACCACACAGGCACAAGACTAGGACCACACAGATGCAAAACTAGGACCACACAGACACAAGACTAGGATCACACAAGGACTAGACTACTACCACACAGAAACCACCCTTTGGCGTGATAAGACCAGATATCATACTAGGACCACAAAGAAACTGGCCTAGAACACTAAAGAGATGAGACTAAGACCGCACAGACACCATACTGTGACCATACAGAGACTATAATGTGACCTTACAGAGACCACATACAGACCACATATTTGCTTAATTCCAGCATTTCTTCTTCTGCTCCTAAAGATGACCTTCAACTTATTTAAAACATTTAAACATATGAAGAACACTATTTAATTTGAAAACAATTCTAACTTTCACCAAAAGTGATTCTGAAACATCCTTAGAATGTTATTGAAAATTTACAAAACTTTACTGAAACATGATACATTCTTTGCATGTTATTGATAATTTACAATGCATAATTGAAATAGTCTTAGAATGTTATAGACAATTTAGAAAACATATTTTAAGATAGTTTTGGCTTTATCACCCAGGTGTGGGATTTCAATGGTCACTGCTATCACACCTTAGAATGTGCTGGTGGTCAGCCTGCAGACATTGGTCAAGTGTTGATGTTGAAGAGAAGTGTGGTTGTAGTTGGCTGGGCAAAGTGAGTTCTGCGTCTTGGAGATGTGATCTCATAAAAATGGCTGTCTACCTTACTTCGCACATTAGTGGCCAAACATGATAACTTAATTTAGCTGTAATTTTAATATGTAAATATAACTTCAATTACAATGCAGGGCCAGTAAATTAAATACATGATCTTACCTTGAATGTGATTGCATGTTTAAGGATGTGGGGTTTTTTTTTTCAGAACACTGGCAATATTCAGAAATAGTGCATTTAAAGAGTTCCATGTACAGCCAGCTGATTGGAAAGGAGGGCAGGTAATTTGAACACAGGAAATAGAGTTATGGTACTTGTAATAACTGGAACCAGTCAGCACTGGATCCAACCATAAAAATGACAATGTTCGGTTATTAGCTCATCTTAGAATTATTTTATATTGTAAATTAAAGTCATCACACTAAGATTAAAGTATATTTTCTTCTCAGAGATGTTTTTTTTAAAAACACAACACCAAAAGACATTTTATTAGTACTACAACAACAATAAATATGTTATAAGTAATTCAACACCAATACGTGTGACATATTTTATATCAACGTTGATGTCCTACAGGAGCATGTTGAGGACATCCTCTGCTGTGCATTCTGTGCTCCGACAACTCTTGCTACGGGCTCCTATGATGGTGAGATTGTGATATGGAACACAAACTCGGAACACGCTTCTAGACATTGTGCCCAGAGGTCACGGCGAGGGCTGAAATCAAGGGGCAGAACTTTCATAAATTCCATGAACAAAGAAGTGAGTGCTTGCTCTTTGATGTAAAAACCAATGTAGCTATGCCAGGAACATTTCATTTTTAAAACTATGTTGTTAATTTTATAAACACGGAACAAATTATTAGCAGTCTCTGCTTTTTAAAACAATTTGCAATGATTTTTCCAAAGAGATTAAGAAACAAGAAGTTGAGAATTTTTTGTTGTTGATTTAAATGACCTTTGACCTTTAAAGAATCAGTGGGTCATTGTAAATTTGCAATATCTAACTTTTCTTTTACACAGTAGTAAAATTTATCATAGCGTCATCTTCCCATATCACAAGAATATATATTTTATTTTTAATGATTAATTTATCAACTCAAATGGACTTAAATAATAATACGTTGTATCTTTCTTAAATAAATTAATAGCTTATTTGTCTAGTATAGCCTAAAGTATGGCCTTAGATATAGCAATATGTTTATTCTTGTATTATTGCCTAAAATGTGGTGTTAGATATAGCAATATGTTTACTCTCCTAGTATTGCCTTAAATATGGCATTCCTATCATTCTTGAAAGTAATGCATAATTGGAACTCTTATACTCTTATCTCTCTTCAGCTTTCCCTCCCAGCTCAAGAAGGTACTCGTCTTAGTCTGCAGTCAACAAAATTTCCAGAACTGTCAAAGTCCAGAGTATCCATAGTGGCTGAGGACAAGACAAAACTCAGGTCTGCCTTGGGTAGAAGGTCAGCCACAAGACAGTCTGTTAGCCAGGGAAGTTCTGAGGACCAGGTCAGTGGATTACAATTTGAATCAGTTTTATAATTATTGCTAAATTGTCATTTAAAAAATAAAAAATTCAAATTCAAATTAAATATAGTAAAGATGAGATTAATCTATTAACTTCTTAATAAATTTTCTTTTTATAACTATTTAAAGATAAATGAATAATTCTATGGGCCAACTTATGGGTATTTTGGTTTATTTTAAAATTATTTAAATTAAAAAACAGTATGTTTTATCAAATAATTTTTTTGGTTAAATTATTTTTTTAAATAGGTCACAAAATTACCATAAGTAGGTCAACTTAAGTTTGTTTTTTTTTGTTATGACCACCACTTTGTAATTAATCTACAAAAACACACACAAAAAATAGTTGCGCAATGAGGAAACTTACCATCTTAAAAATTTCTTATTCAACTAACATGCTAAGAATCCCAATTAGATCTAACATCCCGAAATTTTATTTGTATCTAATTTATAAAAATAATACTTACCTATTAAAGATTTTATATATTTTTTATAACAATAATTATTTTGCCAGATTTAAATTGATTTGATTTCTGTAAAAAAAAAAAATTTCACTATCAGTGTTTTTAGAAATATGACTTGTATCTTGCGCACCTATTGAACACATATTTACAGCCTCTTTAGTGCACTTTTGGGGAAGTGTATTTTTGGCGCTATTGAACAGTGCAATACAGCTATAGATACATACATACATACATACATACATACATACATACATACATACATACATACATACATACATACATAAAGAATTACTATTTGTAAATTATTATTGCTAAATTTTATGTATCTGATGATTGTCACTTTTTCCTTTTTGTCTGAAAGAATGAATTTGGTTGGGCGGTGGTTAGACTTGCATTTCTTGACAATCGGCAAGGCAACAGTGCTAGTGGTGGAGGCAATCTGGTTTCATGTGGCGGGAACGGTTGGGTGCGGTTCTGGAACTCAACGAAAGGAACATTGATCGCAGAATTTGTCGCACATCCAAATGGTAAATGTTATTTTGTGGGATGTTTTTTGAATTGTATTTGTATTTTGACAAGTTCTCATCAAATGTTGACCTTTTAACTTTTACTTTAAACAAATGTGTTTTAATACAAATATGTTTATTTTTTTAATTTCTTCTCATCACAATAGTCTATTCTTCTGTAACTTTCTAATTTTCTATTAAAAGTAACAGTTAGCTAGGTCAAAGATTGTATTATAAGTTAATAGTACTGTCATGATACAACAGTTAATTTTTTCCTGCCGCAGCTGGAAGTATTACGATAATACAATTAATAATAGTTCTGTTCCCTAACTGGAATTATTATCATAATAAAAGACTTAATGTTGTCACTCTCCATCTGCAACTATTATCATGATACAATATTTTATTTTGTCACTCTAGCTGCAAGTATGATCTTGATACAATACTTAATTTTGTTATCCCCAGCTGGAAGTATTATCATGGCGACTGACCCCAAAAATAATCTTATAGCAACAGCTGATGTTGACGGCTTTATCAAAGTCTGGGATATTGAGAATTATGGCTTGAGCCATGTGGACGAGCCAATTACAGAGCCACCACGTAATATGTTCAAATGTGAAACTTACTAATAATAATTAACTAATCAACCAGTGGATATTATTTACCAAAATGTACTTACGTGGTTGGATATAAATTTGCAATACAATACTTAACTTTAAGAAATTTTTTATAATATTTTGTTTAAAAAAATTGTAATGAAAGCATGATCAATTTAATACCAAAAAATAAAGAAGGGAATTTTAAATTGATTAAATTAAATTAATACTGTTTGATGGTTGGGGAGATTGGTCTGTCTGACAGTAGATTTTTATCAAATGTCCACTCCCATATATGTTTTAAAAAAAGGGTCAAGCTAAAGTTAAATATCCTGAGCCATGGATGCCATTTATTGAGCCATGGTCACCATCTACTGGGACATGGACACCATCTACTGAGCCATGGGCGCCATCTACTTGGCCATGGATGCCATCTACTGAGCCATGGACATGAAAGTTGCAAAAAATCTGTCCCAATGAACTTCAAATGGAAAACACAAAAAAAGCTAATTCTAATCCAAAAATGTATCTGCCTCTCAAAAATGTATCTGCCTCTCTTTACAATTTATTGATGTTATCCCCCTTCCAGCTTTGAAATCCCATTTCCAACCCCATCAAGACCAGATCAACTCACTGGAAATGTTTGAGAGACAGGAAAGGCTTCTCATTGTTTCCACCTCATCAGACTGCAGTGTGGCATTGTGGGACATATATGGAAATAGAATTGGGATATTTGGACAGGTAGGATAAAGAGTTGTTTAAGCCAATGTCAGTGTTAGCATTACTGCTTCTCTAGTTGTATAATTTCATCCGGCTTTGGTCAAATTTTAGGAAACATATTGGGGACACATGTTTAGGACACATGATCTCTTGGAGTAATTTTAATACAGGAAACTAATTATAGTCCTGAACAAAATTTGTATTTAATTAAAAAAAAAATATTTTTTATATTTCAAAAGAACCATGTTTTTCTCTATCCAGGAAGAGCATTGGAAAATTGAGTCCCATCAACCAACTCTGGAAGTTGAAAATGGCCCCAAAGATGAGGTGGGTCTTCAAAGGATTATCTGTTAATGGTGTGAAATGGAATATCTGGCCATTGAAGAGCTCTATTAGTGTTTGGCCAGGTTTGGCAGTGTTGCCAGGTTGGTTGTGTTGCCAGGTTTGGCAGTGTTGCCAGGATGGTTGTGTTGCCAGGTTTGGTAGTGTTGCCAGGTTTCATTGTGTTGCCAGGCTTGGTAGTGTTGCCAGGTTTGGTAGTGTTGCCAGGTTTGGTTGTGTAGCATATTTTACTCTAATCTGCAAAAGTATGTTATCTATAAAACTATTTATAAAATGAATTAGAGTTTGAGCTAGCTGTTCACCTTTAGAGATTCTTTCGCAGAAAACTGAAGATGACACTGACCAGGTCATTGAAAGAGATGCAGACATCCAATGGGAACCAGATGAGCTAGCCATTACCGACCCTTTACATTACCGCATCAATACATGGGAGACTACTGTTTTAGGTCATAATTTATAATCTAAGTCGAAAGTTGTCATTTTATAGACTTAATAAAAAAACAATACTGCCACGCCCATTCCTACCATCATTCCAGTGAAACATATGCAATGCCATTCCTACCACAATTCAAATGAAATAGATGCAATGCCATTCCTACCATCATTCCAGTGAAACATATGCAATGCCATTCCTACCATCATTCCAGTGAAACATATGCAATGCCATTCCTACCATCATTCCATTGAAACATATGCAATGCCATTCCTACCATCATTTCAGTGAAACATATGCAATGCCATTCCTACCACAATTCCAATGAAATAGATGTAATGCCCATTCCAACCATAATTTCAATGAAATAGATGTTATGCCCATTCCTACCACATTCCAATGAAATAGATGTTATGCCCATTCCTACCACAATTCCAATGAAATAGTTATTATGCCCATTCCTACCCCATTCCAATGAAATAGATGTTATGTCCATTCCTACCACAATGCCAATGAAATAGATGACCACCAAATGTTATAAGTCTGAGCTACATCTTTAAATAATCTTTTGTATTTGGTGCAAAAATATTATTCTAATACATTATAACCCTTCCATCATAGCTCTTTTATCATTGCAATTCCATCATAGCACTTACATTAGAGAACTTCCATCATAGCACTTCCATCATAGCACTTCCATCATAGCACTTACATTAGAGAACTTCCATTGTAGCACTTCCATCATAGCACTTACATTAGAGAACTTCCATTGTAGCACTTCCATCATAGCACTTACATTAAAGAACTTCCATCACAGCACTTCCATCATAGCACTTACATTAGAGAACTTCCATCATAGCACTTTCATTAGAGAACTTCCATTGTAGCACTTCCATCATAGCACTTACATTAGAGAACTTCCATCATAGCACTTCCATCATAGCACTTACAATAGAGAACTTCCATCATAGCACTTACATTAGAGAACTTCCATCATAGCACTTCCATCATAGCACTTACATTAGAGAACTTCCATCATAGCACTTACATTAGAGAACTTCCATTGTAGCACTTCCATCATAGCACTTACATTAGAGAACTTAGGACTTCCATCATAGCACTTACATCATAGCACTTACATTAGAGAACTTCCATTGTAGCACTTCCATCATAGCACTTACAATAGAGAACTTCCATCATAGCACTTCCATCATAGCACTTACATTAGAGAACTTCCATCATAGCACTTCCATCATAGCACTTCCATCATAGCACTTACATTAGAGAACTTCCATCATAGCACTTCCATCATAGCACTTACATTAGAGAACTTCCATTGTAGCACTTACATTAGAGAACTTCCATTGTAGCACTTACATTAGAGAACTTCCATTGTAGCACTTACATTAGAGAACTTCCATTGTAGCACTTACATTATACATACAATTTTACCTAAGTCATCTATATATGTGTTCTTAACAAAGTGATCATTACTCTCCTTATTTTTATATCAGTAATATCCTCAGTAACTTAATCAGTAATCTCATCAATAATATCACCGATAAAATATCATCAGCAATATCATCAATAATTTCACCAGTTACATCATCAGTCATTTCATCAGTAATTTAATCAGTTATATTTTTTTTCTAAGTTTAAATAACATTTGGATGTTACTTAACTGTCTCAAATGTTGCACGTGAAGATGACAAAACTTGAATCAATGACTGACTAACTTGAACCAATGGCTAACTAACTTGAACCAATGACTGACTAACTTGAACCAATGACTGACCAACTTGAACCCATGGCTGACCAACTGAACCAATGACTGACTAACTTGAACCAATGACTGACTTACCTGAACCAATGACTGACTAACTTGAACCAATGACTGACTAACTTGAACCAATGACCAACTCATATATTACAGGTAAAGATTACAAGAACCTGAGGGTACAGAAGCGTGAAAGACGTCAGCCTGGCACCATACCAGATCTTCCGTATCTCCACTGGGAAAGAACGGGGGCTCCACCGGCTGGGCCTTACTCAGTGAGTGGTTAGGGTTAAGGAAAGAACAGGGGCTCTACCGGTGCTGGCCTTACTCTGTGAGTGGTTAGGGTTAGGGAAAGAAGCGGGCTCCACCCGCTGGGCCTTCCTCAGTTAGTGGTCACTGTTAAAATGTTGGAATAATTTTATTTCTCACCTAGCATCTGTTGAGCTTGTTCACCTCTTGAGATACATTTCTTAAAAGTAAAATTATTTTTGTCTAATTTGTCTCTTAAGTATTTTTTCAGATGAAAAGTTTATTGTTTTTTTTGTCTATACAATAAAAGTGTAAATTACGCTAATTTTGAAGTGACAGTTGCACCAAGGAAACAGGGTTCCAATTGTAACTGTACTTTCCTCATCATAACTTATTTAAACTACATTTATAGAACCCCTAGCTCTACTTATCTAAAAACTTACTTTAGAATCTCAATTTCTACTTATCTAGATATTTGATTTGACAATGTATCATCTGGAAATTTTTTTGCTATTATTTTATTTAACATTTTTGAAAAAAGAAGAAAAAAACTACTTTTAATTGTCTTCCCTTGTAACCTGGAAGTAGTATAAATAGTTTGTTTTTTTTCTGTTATAAAAACTTTTCACAGGCACTGGACACCAAAGAGTTAAATCCCCTGATGCACATTGTTAAACCTGACCCGGACAAATATTTCCACAAAGGACCAGAGGGCTCTGAGCTGTCTGACACCAAGTTGCCTGTCCTGGCAGAAAGTAGGTCATCACTTTTGTGTTTATAATCCACTCCTGCCTTATCACTATTCATTGCCCTCCCATTTCCCACCCACCCCCATTTCTTCACCTCCCCACTTCCCCATTTCTCCTCATCACCCTCCCCCAAGAGGGACTGCATTCAAGCCATGTATATATTGGCCTATATAATAATAATTATTATTATGGAGTTGGGATATAAAAACTGCACATTGTCCATTTTAAACCAAAGGTGAACACTTAATGCATAAAATATTTTTTTCTTTAATCAATATTCTTACTGTTTATATTTGAAGCCCTGACAACAGCATTTGATGAGAAGTCGCTGTTCCCTAGTTACATCCTGGACTTTGAGAAGAAAATGAAAAACTATCACTCCATAGTCCTGAACCAGTCCCAGGTAAGACTGACCTAGTTTCAGATTCTTCTTTTTTTTGTTTGATACATAGGTAACTGTCTACGGCCAATATTTTGTTTGGATTTATTCTATTGCTAAAATTATGCAAAGCTTATCACAACTGTTAAATAAGGAAAGATAAGTAGAATTAAAATGTTAAAGATAAGTAGAATTAAAATGTTAAAGATAAGTACAATTAAAATAAAGGTAAGTAGAATTAAAATGTTAAAGATCAGTAGAATTAAAATAAAGATAAGTAGAATTAAAATGTTAAAGATAAGTAGAATTAAGACGGTAAAGATAATTAGAATTAAAATGTTAAAGATAAGTAGAATTAAAATGTCAAAGATAAGTAGAATTAAAATGTTAACAATAAGTGCAATTAAAATGTTAAAGTCAAGTATAATTAAAATGTTAAAGTCAAGTATAATTAAAATGTTAAAGTTAAAGTAGAATTAAAATGAAAAGTAGATCAATTAAGATAAAGAGAACAAAATTAGAGTTTTTTCGTTTTTTCATTGATAAGTTATGGCAATACATTTTAATATCCGTAAACTTTAAACCAATTCAGAAGTTTTAATTTTTTTTGTTTATTATTATTTTTGAAACCATTTTTTTTCAACCATAAAATAATTTGGCAACTTTCGAAGAAACTTAAACATGGTATAATTATTCCACAGCCCAAGAACAAGTCAGGAAAGTCTGGCATACAAAACAATTCAGTTCCAGTATTACAACCAGGACGGGCTAAATCACCAGGCTCGGGCCGTAAAACTTTACACACAAGTGGGTCAGTTGGGATCAAGCTGCGACCTTTGGTCAGTTCAAGAACCAATTCTATTACAACTTCCTTAGCTGGAGAGTGATGTTTTTGTAAATATTTTTTGTCTGATGAATGTCTTAAACTGGCGTATAGAAATTCAAATAAATCTAAAGTGAAATTATTTTGAGATTTGAATTAATAGCAAATCAATTTAAGACACTATAGCAGGGTTATGTTGACCTACCTAGTTACAATTAGCAGGGTTATGTTGACCTACCCAGTTACAATAAACCAGGGTTATGTTGACCTACCCAGTTACAATATAGCAGGGTTATGCAGTTGACCCAGTTATATTTTCTAATACCTTGGGTATTTTTATTTACTTGAAAATATTTCAGTATTGGTTTTTAAATTGGGGAAATTTATTTCCTTAACCACTGAGGAACATGGAACAACCGGATTCTCAGAGCAGTTCGCTTTAAATGCTGCTACGTGAAAACCTAAGGGTTACGCGTATTGTTATTTAAGATTGGCTGACCCGCTTGATGTTAACAGTGTTCAACTGTCCACTCTTTTGACAGTCTTGAACTGTCCACTGTTCTATTGGATTTCATTTTTGTGAAGTGTTGTAAGTGCTGTGATAAAACTAAGTTTCCATTTTGTGTAACTCGCTGATTTTTTTTGATTGGATTAATTTCATTCTGAAAATTTTGATTGATGTCATATGAAGCAAAGAATGCAGCTAAATTATTCCTTATTTATCTACTTATCTTTCCATCAATTTGGCAATGGTTTTTACTAACCCGTCAGTCATACAATATAATTCAATATTAGCTTTTAAAACTTCTTATTTTGTATTTGCATCTGAGGTGCCTTAACTTTCCCTTGATAGATGAACACTTGCAATAAAATGATTACATTTACAACACATCCTACTGGCATTTTAAAACGGTGCAAATGTTCACCTCCATCTCATTGGCTGGCTACTAATTTATGTGAGAAAGTTTTATTGGCCTAAAAGCATCATGTGATCAATAAAGCAGATTTCTTATTGGAGGATAAGTCACTTGGTTCGTTAGGTGAGGTTGGATTTTGTTAATTGCCTTAACAAGAGAATATATTAAGGCAACTACAGACTTATTTACACTGATAGATTTATAATAATTAAAGGTTAACAGCTTATAAGATATAATACATTGTCAAATTTATTCTCAGATGTGTACATTTTGTTGGTTGTAACATATGCTATCTATTTTGTTTTACTATTACACTTGATAAATGCCTTAAAAGTAGCCTTCTGATTGACATCTAATTGTCTCAATTTGTAATGTTGTAAATTAAAGTTCATATTGTAAACTGAATCGTTGTAAATAGATGGTTGTATACTGCTAACTATTAATCAGGTTGCTGTATCTGTGATCTATGTAACAATCAAGTTGAAATAAACACGTGCTTGTTAATTTATCAAGAAATTTATCTTTATTTTACTCTACCTTTTTTTTTTAAATGTTAGGAGGTTGATGGTTTTCATATTTTTTTAAAATGTTAGGAGGTTGATGGTTTTCATATTTTTTTAAAATGTTAGGAGGTTGATGGTTTTTATTTTTTTTTTAAATGTTAGAAGGTTGATGGTTTTCATATTTTTTTAATGTTAGGAGGTTGATGGTTTTCATATTTTTTAAATGTTAGGAGGTTGATGGTTTTCATATTTTTTAAATGTTAGAAGGTTGATGGTTTTCATATTTTTTAAATGTTAGGAGGTTGATGGTTTTCATATTTTTTTTAAATGTTAGGAGGTTGATGGTTTTCATATTTTTTTAAAATGTTAGGAGGTTGATGGTTTTTATTTTTTTTTTAAATGTTAGGAGGTTGATGGTTTTCATATTTTTTTAATGTTAGGAGGTTGATGGTTTTCATATTTTTTAAATGTTAGGAGGTTGATGGTTTTCATATTTTTTAAATGTTAGAAGGTTGATGGTTTTCATATTTTTTAAATGTTAGGAGGTTGATGGTTTTCATATTTTTTAAATGTTAAGAGGTTGATGGTTTTCATATTTTTTAAATGTTAGGAGGTTGATGGTTTTCATATTTTTTAAATGTTAGGAGGTTGATGGTTTTCATATTTTTTTTAAATGTTAAGAGGTTGATGGTTTTCATATTTTTTTAAAATGTTAGAAGGTTGATGGTTTTCATATTTTTTTAAATGTTAGGAGGTTGATGGTTTTCATATTTTTTTAAAATGTTAAGAGGTTGATGGTTTTCATATTTTTTTAAATGTTAGGAGGTTGATGGTTTTCATATTTTTTTAAAATGTTAGGAGGTTGGTGGTTTTTATTTTTTTTTTAAATGTTAGAAGGTTGATGGTTTTCATATTTTTTTAAAATGTTAAGAGGTTGATGGTTTTCATATTTTTTTAAATGTTAGGAGGTTGATGGTTTTCATATTTTTTTAAAATGTTAGGAGGTTGATGGTTTTTATTTTTGTTTAAATGTTAGAAGGTTGATGGTTTTCATATTTTTTAAATGTTAGGAGGTTGATGGTTTTCATATTTTTTTTAAATGTTAGAAGGTTGATGGTTTTCATATTTTTTAATGTTAGGAGGTTGATGGTTTTCATATTTTTTAATGTTAGGAGGTTGATGGTTTTCATTTTGTTTAAATGTTAGGAGGTTGATGGTTTTCATTTTTTTTAAATGTTAGGAGGTTGATGGTTTTCATTTTTTTTTAAATGTTAGGAGGTTGATGGTTCTACTTTGTTTAAATGAGAGGTGGTAGGTGGTTGTAATTTGTTGTAATGTTATTAGGTTGGAGGTTCTAGTTCAAGTTCTTTTCATGTCCAAAAATTAGATTAGGATTATGTTCACTTAATGAAAATTTTCTTGAGTTAATCTTTCTGGGGAAAAAACAACTTTTGATGTAGTATTAGAAAGGGGGCCCAACAGTAATTTTATATCTATATATTGATGTCATCTCCAGTGTTTTCATTTGAAGGGGGGGGGAAGGGGCAGAGCAGAAATTGTGTTGGCTCAACCAAGACGGGACAAACCCTAGTTACGACACAGTGTCAAAGCCAAAAAATAGTGAGGGCAGGATAGCGCCCCTTTTTGTTCCACGTGATATGGAACGGGCCCGTAATGTGGATGGGGGCCCATGATGTTGATGGGCCAGTGATGTGGATGGAAGCGTTTTTAAATCCATTCAGGGTCTCTGCTGGGGAAAAAATATGTTGGAAAATGCTGAATTAAAGGTATGTATCTCCTAATAAATATAGATATTACCTAAAAGTAGACCTATTTCCAGATAAATATATATATATATGATAAATAAATGAAATATATCTATGGAGATATATTTATATATTCTGTATATATATATTCCAAATATCCTAAATTTGTCCATATAATAAGTCGGCCTAAATAGCGTATAGAAATCTAATTTGTCAAAATTATATATTCTAAGCAGAACCTATTAAATATACGTTCTATGAAACCCTCCTCTCCTTCCCTTATTTTCAAAACAATAACTACACTACAATAAGTAATAAGATTCCAATCCATCGTGAAAAAAAAAAGATTAATAGAAATACCTTTAAAAAAAAAAAATAGCAAATTTACCAATAATGAAAAATGTAATAATTTATCTGTTAACATGTTTGTGATTTAATTCACTACAAATCATTTTTTTTGCTTTGTTTTGTTTACAAATGTTTATCGCGTTCTGTTGGGAGATTAGAGATGAATTAATGTAACTGTAATTTGTAATGCCTAATAACCATTTAAGATGGTATAGCTAATTTCTCAGGCTGGATCATGTTTGTGTCTGGGGCCAAACCAAACGAAGGAAATGCTGTTTATGAGAAAATTATCAGGAACGGTGGCTTAACTAGGTTCAGTTGTGTTTTTTTCCACTGGGTCCGGGTATTTTGAGAAAATACACGGTGGTTTCAATTAATTTTAAAAAGAGTAAACTTCAAATTTTCTATAATATATGCCGGCCTTTAAACAATAGTCTTACAGACAGACCTACATCCTACCTGCCGGCCTTTAAACAATAGTCTTACAGACAGACCTACATCCTACCTGCCGGCCTTTAAACAATAGTCTTACAGACAGACCTACATCCTACCTGCCGGCCTTTAAACAATAGTCTTACAGACAGTCCTACATCCTACCTGCCGGCCTTTAAACAATAGTCTTACAGACAGTCCTACACCCTACCTGCCGGCCTTTAAACAATAGTCTTACAGACAGTCCTACATCCTACCTGCCGGCCTTTAAACAATAGTCTTACAGACAGACCTACATCCTACCTGCCGGCCTTTAAACAATAGTCTTACAGACAGACCTACATCCTACCTGCCGGCCTTTAAACAATAGTCTTACAGACAGACCTACACCCTACCTGCCGGCCTTTAAACAATAGTCTTACAGACAGTCCTGCACCCTACCTGTGGCTATTTATTTATTAATATGAAAGGCGCCTCACCTTTAAGAAACAAAAAAAAAATAACCTGGACGGGACGTCTGAACTGTATGACAGCCTTTTTTTTACTCAGTAGATCCACGATAAATAAAAAAAACATGTGGCGTTTGTGATTGTAGTACGAGGCACTGGCTACAGTCAACATAGGGACACATAGCTGTCTATTCATCGTCCATAGATTAAGATTGTAGTACGAGGCACCGGGTACATTCAACATAGGGACACATATATGTCTATGCATTGACCATAGATTGTGATTATAGTTCCTAATGAATGGAAGACATAATCAAACCAAAGTGAAACACGTGACCAAATGAAGTTAATAGCGGGTTGGTTAAAAATAGAAACATGACAGCCCCAGAGAGCATGAGAGGGGCATTAGCCATCAATGCCCACCAAATATTTCGCCAGACAACCGGGTTACAGTAAATGTGGATATGATATTTTATTACGTATTTCTTCTTCTTCTATATTTTGAGGGCCCACGATCAATGTGTTGATCATTCTGGCTCCTATGTAAGTAGAGGAGTTCGCGATGTAACTGGGCATCGTTCACTAGTTGCAAGGACTGCTCAGCGATGGTATTATGGACTGGTGGTTGGAAGTGAGGAGGCAGTAGGCTCAAATGTGGCAAGTGTAGTCGCCTCAAATGTTCCTTATTGTTCTAATTCCTGAGTGTCTTTAGCAGGAATGAGCAGTTCCTGTACTGAGTTCTTGTTCTATGAGCCGGAACTACGTCATGGCCTCGTCGCTGTCTAGGGGTGAGAGAGACGAGTTTCTGTTTGATGTTGGAGCAGTCGACCAGCCCATTACTTATCTTGTGGAAGTGAGTCAGTGCATTACGTATCTTCTGGCAGTGGACCAGCCCATTACTTATCTTTTGGCAGTGAACCAGTCCATTACTTATCTTCTGGCAGTGGGCCAGCCCATTACTTATCTTGTGGCAGTGGACCAGCCCATTACTTATCTTGTGGCAGTGGACCAGTGCATTACTTATCTTGTGGCAGTGGACCAGTCCATTACTTATATTGTGGCAGTGGACCAGCCCATTACTTATCTTGTGGCAGTGGACCAGTGCATTACTTATCTTGTGACAGTGGACCAGTGCATAAATTAGCTTGTGTATTTTATACAGCAGGTGGGTCGGTATTGAATGTACTTAATGACCTCACGTGACAGATAATGTCTACCAGTGATGGGTCGGAAACATACTAATGAAAAAAAAACCCAGCAGACGTGAAACAGAGAGACAACAGACTCAAAGCAGAGTACCAACAGATGTGAAGTAGACAGACAATAGACCATTTACACAAGACCACAACACGTGACGTCTCAAGTAATGAAAACAGGCTGTCAGACTGGTCAATCCATCATGGGCTGGTAGAACACAAGGTCAATGACCCTTGATAAAACAACGACAGGAGTTGATTACAGTGCTACATCATAATTTGGCGACTGTCATCCTGGCGGTCATCAAAGGAATTGGCCTGGGGGGTGAATCTATGTTGGTATTGGAAGGGGTATTGGGTGTGTCGAACGAACGATGAAAAGGTGTGGCTAATGGGGGATTTAGGGTGTGTGTCCAATGTTTAGGCTGTGTCTAATGGAGGATGTGTGGTGGTGTTCTAATGAAGGATTATTGGGATGTGTATAATTGAGAATGTATGGGATGTGTCTAAGATATAGGGTGTGACTTATGGATAGAGCGTGTCGAAAAAATGAAGTATAGGGTGTGTCTTATGGAGAATGTAGGGGTGTGTCTAATGGAGGATTTATGACGTGTGTCTAAGATATATGATGTGTCTATCGCAGCAGGTGTGTCGAATGTAGGACGTATGGGGTGTGTCCAATAGAGGATGCATGATGTGTTACTAATTAATGGGGCGTGTCTAATGTATGAATGGGAATGATCGGGAGGAGGGAGGAGGGAGTGATCGGGATGAGTTATGAACTGGATGTGGGAATGATCGGGATGAGAAGAGGGTCTGGAAATTGGAAAGATTGGGATGGGGGAATGATCTGGATGTTGGAATGATTGTGATGAGGGAAGGATCTAGATGTTGGATGATTGGGATGAGGGAAGGATCTCTAGATGTTGGATGATTGTGATGAGGGAAGAATCTAGATGTTGAATGATTGTGATGAGGGAAGGATCTAGATGTTGGAATGATTGGGATGAGGGAAGGATCTGGATGTTGTGAATCCAAAGAATGACATAACAGTCTGTGTATAATTACAACGTCTGCACACCGAACGCCTTGATTTTGTACAAGGGTTTGAGAGTATTGACAGCATTCTCACCTGTCACAACATAAGGCTACTATTACGTCATCATCTGCCTATACAGTATTGTTTCATTTGTCATGTCCTAATTAGTGTATCAATAATTGTGATGACAGAAATGTTCTTTAGATCCTCACATGTATCTCGCTCACAATGTTAACTCAAAGGTACACCAATGTATTAACACATAACAGCAATAGGCTTATGTTTAGAAATGGGGGTAGATTTATTGTGGTGCAGACCAGCCTGGTCCATGTGACGGTTGCTTGCTTGCATAGCTAGTGAAATCAAAATACCCCCCTCCTCCCCCATCACACGGGTGAAATAAATGACCAGTTGTGTTATGTTACGGTCTGCGTGGCCTGAATAATTAGGTTCAGGGACTCTCAAACTGTAGGGGATTAAAGAGCATAGATCGACCCCAGAAACAGTTGTAAGGTCCATATGCGTGTCTTAGTGTTTATATTAGAACGAAATGAGAGAGAGGTAGGGTGACAAGGAGTGAGACATAATAGAAAGAGTTGGGAGGAGAGGCAAGGAGGAGGGGGTGAGACGAAGTAAGAGAAAGAGTAAGAGAAAGACAGAAGGAGAAGAGAGGTAAAGGGGACAAAGGGGGGAAAGGGGGAGAGGCAACTAGGAGTGACAGACATAGAGATAGAGAGCCAGAGACAACCCATGAAGGGAGAGAGGTCTGGTGAGAGAGGTCTGGTGAGAGACGTCTGCTGATGAGAGAAGGCTGGTGAGAGAGGACTGGTGTGAGAAGTCTAGTGAGAGACGTCTAGTGAGAGGAGGAAAGATAACGAACACGAGAGACAGAGAGAGTTGGGAAATAAAGACAGATTTAAATCTAGAGAGTGAGTGAGAGAGAGAGGGAGAGAGAGAGAGCATAGATCGACCCCAGAAACAGTTGTAAGGTCCATAAATAAAATAGCTATCGTGTGAAGGTGAAATAAAGTGTGACTGTCGTTGGTTAATGGATGAAAGAGAGACAATGAGGTGGAGTAGGGAAGAAAAAGTAATTTAAAAAAGTGATTGAGAGAAGGCAAAAGAGAAAGAGAGATAGAGAGAGAGTAAGAGAAAGAGAGATAGAGAGAGAGAGAGAGTGAGAGAAAGAGAGGGGGAAAGAACGAGAGAAAGAAATTAAGAAAGAAAGGAGAGTCTACATATAGTCTTTTTTTAAACAAAGGATCACAGATTAACCAATTTACAAACGTGTGTTAAAAAGTTCCCGTTGAGTCGAAACCAGGACTCCAGGTGTCTGTCTGCCAGGTGAGCTGTACATGTCAGGACTCCTGGTGTCTTTCTTGCAGGTGAGCTGTATATGCTAACTTTCTTCTCAGTTTCTCATGAATCTACAGGTGTGTGTTTTATTCCTGGACTGGCGCTGCCAGATTTTTGTGCGTAAAAATAGTCTCTAGTGCTTTCAAAGGACATTGTAAGATCATGTAAGGAAAGAGAGAGCGAGAGAGAGAGAGAGAGAGAGAGAGAGAGAGAGAGAGAGAGATAGAGAGAGAGAGAGAGAAATGAAAGCTCCAGGTGGATAATAACCACAGTTCGTAACAAGAACAAAGTAAGTATAAAATATTGGGTTGCATTCTTTAAGAATGTCAGTTGTGGCAGTTTCTATAAATAGAAGCTACTCTCGGTACCATATGCTAGGCTGTAAGATGTGTCTGCGAGCAAATTTCCATAAATAACTATTGCTATCCTCCGTACCAAATGGCTTGTAATGTTTTGATTAGCGACAGACCGAGGTAGAGCGTGCAATGGTGTCTTTTTTTAAAGAAACATTGATTTTCTTCTGTGCCCACCTGTGGATTCGCCACTGTGTATAGATACATACTAAGAGAAGAGTGAGAGAGAGAGAGAGAGAGAGAGAGAGAGAGAGAGATAAATAGATAGATAGATAGATAGATAGATAGATAGATAGATAGATAGATAGATAGATAGATAGATAGATAGATAGATAGATATAGACGGATAGATTAGATAGATATAGATAGACAGATGAGAGAGAGAGAGAGAGAGAGAGAGAGAGAGAGATAGTGAGAGAGAAATAGAGACTCTTCTTGGAAAAATATAAAAAAGATAGAACAAATATATATAACGGATTTTACCAAAAGTTATATTTTCTGTTCCCTTATGCCCCACCCCCAATCCCCTGTAGTAAAAGGAGACTTTTGGTCATAATATTGTATCAATGTGATATTTTTCTATAAATTTATTTATTTTACCATGTACATTGTTTGAATAGAACTTGCATTGTCTCTAAAAGAGCCTTGGATTTCTCATGAATGATTTGAGAATCCTCGTTAAGCATTTGCATACCACGCCAGCTAGATGTAACAGGAGTGACCACTGGAATTATTTCAGTGCTGTGCCATGATCGTACTGTCCGGCGTGATATGTCACACGTGTGTTTAGTATACTTATGACACATTCTGATACGTAGTACAGTTAGGAAAACTATTTGGTGAAGAGGCTTTCATTAGAGACACGTTTGTCGTCTGATGAGTTTGTCGTCTGCTGAGTTTGTCGTCTGATGAGTTTGTCGTCTGCTGAGTTTGTTGTCTGCTGAGTTTGTTGTCTGCTGAGCAATCAAGGATATATAGGAGTTTCACGGACAATTTGGAAGTTTTGTGACAATTCGATCTTAGGTGAGTATGATACTATTATCTTCTTACTACGGCCTAAAAGTGTCGTGTAGTTGTAATGTTGTTCTGACCGAGTATAAAAGAGTGGAGAAAGTGTGTGTGTGTGTGTGGGGGGGGGGCATTACTCATACGATCGCCATTTTATATTGTGAAAGAAAAACATCCCTCGTCCTGCATCACACACAAGTGAGTTGGTCATTTTAGAATGGGGAACACATCAGTGATCTTGTCATTATAGATTGGGGAACATCCCAGTGATGTTGTCATTTTAGAATGGTGAATATACCAGTGATTTTATCATTTTAGAATGGGAACACATCAGTGATGTTGTCATTATAGATTGGGGAACATCCCAGTGATTTTGTCATTTTAGAATGGTGAATATACCAGTGATTTCGTCATTTTAGAATGGGGAACACGCCAGTTATTTCGTCATTTTAGAATGGGGAACACGCCAGTTATTTCGTCATTTTAGAATGGGGAACACGCCAGTTATTTCGTCATTTTAGAATGGGGAACACGCCAGTTATTTCGTCATTTTAGAATGGGGAAAACACCATTGAGTTTGTCATTTCAGAGTCGCGAAATTGGATGTGGGGGGAAAAAAAAGGGGGGGGGGGTTTGAAGACTTTTTAAAGGGCGGAAACTGATTTCTGATTTTAATAACTGAATCATGTGGATTTTTTTAGCAATAAATGAATCATTGAGATGTATGTCACATGGTACATCAAGATGTTTATCACGTGGTTCATCAAATGTATTTCATGAGTGGGTTGAGGTCGTCGGTCTGTCGAATGAGTAAGTAAGACAAGTAGGCCTACTCTATACGTGGCATTCGCTAAGAGATCAAAGTGGTAAGTGAGTACATCTCTAAATTATCGGGGCATCAAGACATGAAGCCGTTTGTAATGAAGACATTAACGTAACCATGCTTCATGGATTCAGCGCTAGGGCCAAGGTTTGATTTCCTTTAAATTATATATTAATTTTTTTAAAAATAAATTTCCGAGCTAACTTCCAGGAGCTAAACCTGTACTCAAGCAATGTGGAAAACTTAGACTGTGGTCAAAGCTGATAAACCTAGACCGATGTAAAATAATTGTTCATGTACGTGCAAGCTCACCTGCAAACCAATCGTGGATTCCATGTGTTTCTTCGTTTCATCGCGTGATCATTAGTTAGCCACAAACGCCTTGAAATACGTCATGGGCTTTCGTGTCATCAAGGCTGCAGGAATTCGGCTACGGCCAATCAATAAGTGGTCTATTTAGAAGATTACATTTGACATCAGTATAATTATGACCGCGCCCGTGTGAGGTTATGACCACGCCCATTTGAGGTCAAGTCTAGAATCATGACGTGTGATAGGCTCATTTGACGCTTTAACGACTTGTGAGGGATTAGTGGCTAATCCTTTACAGCGGTTCTCAGACTCTTAGAAATGCGTAAGTAAACAACACATTGAAACCTATAAAAGAATAAAATGAAGTGTAATACTATTATTCATTGTAAATGCAATCTTAATTAACAATAATGAACATACGTAAAATGAACTTGTAATTTTAAAAAAAAATTGGATTTAGATGACACATTTCCTAGATACGCCTATGTCATATGTGACGAGTTCGCCTCTGTAGTAAATTTCAATCATTCAATGACATATCTTGAAAGACCATATTGTTGACATATCTTAACTGTCCATAATGATGACCATATTGTTGACATATCTTAACTGTCCATAATGATGACCATATTGTTGACATATCTTTACTGACCATAATGTTGACCATATTGTTGACATATTTTAACTGTCCATAATGATGACCATATTGTTGACATATCTTTACTGACCATATTGTTGACATATCTTTACTGACCATATTGTTGACATATCTTTACTGACCATATTGTTGACATATCTTTACTGACCATATTGTTGACATATCTTTACTGACCATATTGTTGACCATATTGTTGACATATCTTAACTGTCCATAATGATGACCATATTGTTGACATATCTTTATTGACCATATTGTTGACCATATTGTTGACATATCTCCACTGATCATATTGTTGCCATATCTTCACTGACCGCATTTTTGCCATCTCTTCACTGACAATTTCGTTGACCATATTGTTGACCATATTGTTGACCATATTGTTGACCATATTGTTGACACATATTGTTGACACATATTGTTGACCATATCCCGTATTGTTGTTTCACAGATATCAGAGATGCCCCTCCAGGAGTCGGACTGTGCTGTGACATATAAAGTCCTCATCATTGGGGACCACGCTGTGGGAAAGACGTCGCTCCTGAGTTCACTGACAAATCGAGGTTTTCAGGAGCGTGTCCTGCCAACAGTAGGTAAGTCCCTTGCCAGCAAGTGTGCCGCCTACAATAGGTGAGTTTCTTAGTCTACAAGTGTGCCGCCTAAAATAGGTCAGTTTCCTAGTCTACAAGTGTGCCGCCAACCGTAGGTCATTTTCCTAGACTACAAGTGTGCAGCCAACCATAGGTCATTTTCTTAGACTGCAAGTGTGCCGCCTAAAATAGGTCAGGTTCTTAATCTAAAAGTGTGCCGCCAACCGTAGGTTATTTTTCCTAGTCTACAAGTGTGCCACCAACCATAGGTCAGTTTTTTAGTCTACAAGTGTGCCGCCAGCTGTAGGTCAGTTTCTTAGTCTACAAATGTGCCGCCGTCTGTAAGTAAGTTTCCTAGTCTACTAGTGTGCGGCCAAGCACAAGTGTGCAGCCAACCACATGTATGGCGCCAACCACAATTGTGCCACCAACCACAAGTGTGGCGCCCCCTGCAGGTAAATCACATATCCAGCAAGTGTGATGCCATATGATGATTATCAACCACGGAATGTATCCACAACTTGATGGATACGTAAATGGATTTAGGAACCAATATTATTATTATAAAAGACTCCACACCATGTGTCATTGTTTATTCAAACATACACGTGTTTATCACTATCATTATGATGCGTATAAATCTGTTACAGGGGTTGACTTTGTCACAAGAATATTTGAGGTAGATGGCGCTCTGATCCAATTGCAAATTTGGTGAGTTGAAATTTTGGTCCATACGGGGAATGGTCTCCAAAAGATGATTAGTAATTATAGTCTTTACTGGGAATGGTCTTCAAAAGATGATTAGAAATTATGGTTCTCACTGGGAATGGTCTTCAAAAGATGATTAGAAATTATGGTTCATACTGGGAATGGTCTTCAAAAAAATGATTAAAAATTATGGTCCATACTGGGAATGGTTTAAAAAAAATGATTAAAAATTATGGTCCATACTTGGAATGGTTTTGAAAAACAATGATTAAAAATTATGTTCCATACTGGGAATGGTTTTCAAAAGAATGATTAGAAATTATGGTATATACTGGGAATGGTCTTCAAAAAATAATTAGAAATTATGGTCCATACTGGGAATGGTTTCCCCTTGTTTTCAAATCACAGGAAGACTTTTATGTAAATTACGAATTTCTTTAATTTTATTTGCAACGGTTATTTTAGTCTTCACATCTTCTGACTTACTCAAATTGATTTCTTTTGTCAGACATAGTTATTTCCCTTGAATTTCATCTTCAAATTTAATTCAATTAATAAGTATGAATAAACATATTCATTATATTTTATTAATTATTAAATTATGTATTAATACCGGGTATTATTATATTATGTAATGAATAGCTATTATTGATTTAAAATACCAGACGTGATATTCTTTACCTAAAGTTTTATAAATGCACTATTAAAATCTTGCGACACATGTATCCACCTTCCAGACAAACTTTGGACTCGGGTCTGTGAATTTTTAATTTAAAGTCTGACGTCACGATACCCGACAGAGGCGTGCATGCCAGACCTTAAGTCAGCGAACTGGAGAGCTGGAGAGTTTAGCCATGAAAAATGGTCGCCTGAAGTCGTTGGGAACTTTTGTTTGTGTACCCAGTGGACAGAAGGCTACCAGTTGACAAAATAAGCACAGGTGCAATCGAGTGGCCTGCAGGGCGAGGACCCTGCAATGCGAGTTACCTGCATTGCGAGTAACCTGCAGTGCGAGTAGCCTGCAGTTGAGTAACCTGCAGTGTGCGTAACCTGCCGTGCCTTTAACCTGCAGTGCGATTAACCTGCAGTGTGATTAACCTGCAATGTGAGTAGCCTGAAGTGCGAGTAACTTGTTGTGCGGCTCCCCGGAAGTACAATTAAAAGGCGCACGGAAAAATTATGGCTTCAGCAAGATAGCTATGCATAAAAATAGTTTTTGAAGCACAATAATGGGGTATGGATACGCCTTGGTAGAAAGAAGGCCTGTGTTCTGTATCGATGGCTGATGATACCTATCTCCAGTGGCGTAGCTAGGGTTAGTGCCGCCCGCGGTGTTCCGGTATTTGTAGTTTCCATTTCATTTAACGATGTGTTTTTATTTGGTTTGTATTTGGTTTGTATTTGGTTTGTATTTGGTTTGTATTTGGTTTGTATTTGGTTTGTAATTGGTTTGTATTTGGTTTGTATTTGGTTTGTATTTCATTTAGGGACTGTTCAGGTTTGGAGAGATTCAGGTCAATCACCAACCGCCAGTTCAAGGGCGTCCAGGTCAGTGCTAATCCAGGGCCGAAAAAACCTTGACAAATCTACCTTATTGTACTACACATTGTCTTCTTGACACATATCTTATTGTACTACACATTGTCTTCTTGACACATATCTTATTGTACTACACATTGTCTTCTTGACACATATCTTATTGTCCTGCGCAATTTCTTCTTGAAACCCACCCTATTTCCAATTTCACTGCACAGCAGCTTGATCAATGGCTAGCAGAGAAAATGGGGGAATGTTGATAACTCAAGGGGTTAGGGGTGTAGTTAGGCTAAGGGGTGCCGTTGGTGTTCAGGGGTATGGTTAGGGTTCATGGGTGTGGTTAGGGTTAGGCGAATGATTTACAACTCAATTCTAATTTTTCTACATTTAAGGATACCCCCCCCCACCCGCCCTTTTTACACTTTAATTATTTTCGTTTTGAACGATGTTTGCCCATGTCAGGGGTTCTTAAATCTTTTGCGGCGCCACACCCCCTCTGGATTTGAAAGCATTTCCCGCACCCCATTATCGATTTAAAATGAGCATTTCCTGCTCATACAAATTTCAACTAAACCTGCAACAACCCCCCCCCCACCCCCAAGGATACTGTGGCCAAATGCCAAATGGTTGAAACTGAGGCTATTATTATTACTAACCCTCCAACAACCCCCCCCCCCACCCCCAAGGATACTCTGGCCAAATGCCAAATGGTTGAAACTGAGGCTATTATTATTATTATTATTATAAGTTGTTTCATATAAGTTGTTTGATACCAAAGCCCAGGGCTGGGCTCACCACGGTAGACATACATACATACATTTTAACAAACATAATCAAAAACTTAAAAAATTAATTAACCTACCTTAATTAAATAAAACAAAACAAATGTATATTTAAAATATTCCAACCCTTTGTGTATGTTTGTCACAGAGAGTAAGTGTTTTTGTTTCTTTCTATCTTAGTGTGTGTGTGTGAGGAAAGTAGAGTGAGAGGGAGAGAGAGGGAGAGTGAGAGAGACAGGGGGAGAGATGGAGGGGTATGGATGGGTAGAGGGAAGGAGGGGGACAGAGGGATAGAGGGGTGGGGAGATTAGGAGGGGGGAGAGAGGGAGGGATATGAGATCAGTGTCTGAACTAGATAAAAAGTCAGTGTCTCAACTAGATAAGTACATTTAGACTGAACCCACTACCTGTTATGAAACAGAAACTTAAATTGATGAAGAGTTGACTCAGTCGCCGCGACACAGCGGGAAAAATGGATTTACTACAATTAGTTACTTCCTGTATTATTATTATTTTATTTTTTAAAAGCCATTTTTTTCTCGGAAAGACAGGAAAACGTATATGGCTCGAATTATGTGTACAGTAGTTTGATACTGACTGGTTGGAATTATGTGTACAGTAGTTTGATACTGACTGGTTGGAATTATGTGTACAGTAGTTTGATACTGACTGGTTGGAATTATGTGTACAGTAGTTTGAAACTGATTGGTTGGAATTATGTGTACAGTAGTTTGAAACTGACTGGTTGGAATTATGTGTACAGTAGTTTGAAACTGATTGGTTGGAATTATGTGTACAGTAGTTTGAAACGGACTGGTTGGAATTATGTGTACAGTAGTTTGATACTGGCTGGTTGGAATTATGGGTACGGTAGTTTGATATGGACCATATTACTTCCTCAGGGTCTCGTTCTGGTTTATGACGTCACAAATGAGATGAGCTTCAAGTCTCTGAAACATTGGTTGAAGAGCATAAATATCGTGAGTATCGTTATTCACTTAACATATCTACCGAGTATCGTTATATACTTAATATATCTACTGAGTATCGTTATACACTTTATCTATCTACTCTACAGCCCATAAATATCTACTTCAAAAACCTTATTTATCGTGTGACATTTATCAAGCTTATATCTGATTAACTAGTCGCTGTCTGCAACTCTATGACTATTTTAGAAGATAGAAAAGTGAAAAAATATGGTATCGAATAGAGAATCTCGACCCCGAAATCCTAATACAGTATCGATATCGTCCTATTCCAGGAACACGAGAACAGAAAAAACAGCTACGAGCCCACCCCTGTTGTGCTGTGCGGGAACAAATGTGACCGGATATGTGACAAGAAGGTCAGCAGGGTCAAAGGTGAAAAGGTAGTATTTACGACTTTATAAGCACTGCTATAGTAGAACTGACAGTTATGAAGGTCAGGGTAAAAGGGGGTCATGGCAGTAGTCAGGGGGTCCTGATTGAGGGGGGGGTCCTTGCAATAGGAGTCGCCCTGGTAGGAGGCAGCGAAGACTAAGATTTTCATAATGCTAAATTACTTAAGAGTAGCAGGAACTGAAAATAATTGTAAATAATTTGAAATAGTTTCATACAGCCATAGGTTAAGATTTTTTTTTAAAAAGGGGAACAAGCAGATTATGCTACAATGGTTATCAGGACTATTGCCAGGACCAACGTGTGGGTCCGCAGACCGGTGTCCGGGGGTTGGCGACCGTTCACCTGTGTTATAACAAAAAAGTGGACATATTGACCAAGACGTCTCTGACCAATAAACTTAGTTTGTGAACAGATGTAGCTGTTTGTAATTTTGCTTTGTTGGGGGGGGGGGAAGTAATTTATAAATCTTTTCATAACAAAAATGAAAAATGAAAACTGGCCACATTTCTTACATGTAGTGTAAATAATTTATTTTGTTACGATACCTAACCCTAACCTAACCCTAACCCAAAATTAAAGCGTTTAAGAAACCCTGGTCTGGATAAAATTAGTTAGGACCGTGGCATTGGCCCAGTAATCCTGTGACCCTATAATCCCATGACCCTGTAACCCTGTAACCATGTGACCCTGTGACCATGTAACACTGTAACCCTGTAACCCTGAAATTCTGTGACCCTATAACCTTGTGACCCTATAACCCTGTGACCATGTAACCATGTGACCATGTAAACCTGTGCCCCCGTAACACTGTAACCCTGTAACCATATGACTCTTTGACCCTCTAACGCTGGAACACTGTAACCCCATGAACATTTGACCCTGGTCCACACTCGCTTATTCAGTTTAGCCATAGTTGCTGCTGCTATTGCGATCCTGATGTTTATCTCTTCATAAACGGAGAGAGAACTAGAAATATTGGATCCAAGGTATGTGAAATGCTCAACAACCGACAGATTATGACCCACAGTAGATATGATTGAATGGGACAGGGCATCTTGCATCATGACATGTGTTTTGTGTAGACTAATTGTCAGTCCAAACTCTTGACAAGATACCAACCAACAATTATATAATAGAGTGTAATAGAAAGGGGTTGGAATTTAAAGTCAAAACTAAGTGACCTTGACCTCTTTCCTCAAGCTTGTTCTTCGCTTAAGGTAAATTCATTACAAGTTAGGTAACTCTTAAAAACCTATTGTGCCATCGATTATCTCCCACTTATGTTGACCATGTGACCAGGCTCATTAGTGTATGCAACCTTATAGAATTCATTTTGTGTCCCCAGTTAGCTGACAGGCAGATGTTGGTTGGTTATTCATTTGTTTTCCCCAGTTTGCTGACAGGCAGATGTTGTTTGGTTATTCATTTGTTTTCCCCAGTTTGCTGACAGGCAGATGTTGTTTGGTTATTCATTTGTTTTCCCCAGTTTGCTGACAGGCAGATGTTGTTTGGTTATTCATTTGTTTTCCCCAGTTTGCTGACAGGCAGATGTTGTTTGGTTATTCATTTGTTTTCCCCAGTTTGCTGACAGGCAGATGTTGTTTGGTTATTCATTTGTTTTCCCCAGTTTGCTGACAGGCAGATGTTGTTTGGTTATTCATTTGTTTTCCCCAGTTTGCTGACAGGCAGATGTTGTTTGGTTATTCATTTGTTTTCCCCAGTTTGCTGACAGGCAGATGATGTTTGGTTATTCGTTTGTTTTCCCCAGTTTGCTGACAGGCAGATGATGTTTGGTTATTCGTTTGTTTTCCCCAGTTTGCTGACAGGCAGATGATGTTTGGTTATTCGTTTGTTTTCCCCAGTTTGCTGACAGGCAGATGATGTTTGGTTATTCGTTTGTTTTCCCCAGTTTGCTGACAGGCAGATGATGTTTGGTTATTCGTTTGTTTTCCCCAGTTTGCTGACAGGCAGATGATGTTTGGTTATTCGTTTGTTTTCCCCAGTTTGCTGACAGGCAGATGATGTTTGGTTATTCGTTTGTTTTCCCCAGTTTGCTGACAGGCAGATGATGTTTGGTTATTCGTTTGTTTTCCCCAGTTTGCTGACAGGCAGATGATGTTTGGTTATTCGTTTGTTTTCCCCAGTTTGCTGACAGGCAGATGATGTTTGGTTATTCGTTTGTTTTCCCCAGTTTGCTGNGGGGGGGGGGGAGATGAAAGAAAACGCGATCTTAATGAAATTCATTAAAAAAAATAATATAGCAAGTGCCTTTGGTGCGTAAAATTTTCTGTTTTTTTTTTTTTTTTTACAAAAAGTGTTGATGAAATAAATCTGTGGTATAAAAGCGTTTGGGTCACTGGAATATTAATATAGTTGAGGGTGTGAAAAAAATGTGTGGTTCCCAGCCTTATTGGGGGGGGGGGAGGGCTTGAGTGGTGGGAGGACTATTTGGGATACCGGTACTTATAAAGTGCATTACTTCTAAGCATGTTTTGTCACAATTTCAGGCCCCCCCACCTGTCAAAGCACGATATTACATTTAATAAAGGATTTACTTTTTAAAAAACGTTGTTATTTGTGTTGTTTCATTGGACCCCGGGATTCATAAAGACTTAGGGCATTTTAGAAATTGCACTATGAAAAAACCATTAAAAAAATAATAATTTGACAAACTTTAAAAAATACAATTTAGCTTCATGAAATCCCAGAGAAATAAAGAACGTATTTCATATAATCATTGAAACAAAAATGTGTTGTGAAGAGGCGGAAGATCCTTCCAGGAATGTGATTGGTTATATCCTGGACAAGGCATTGTGATTGGTTATATCCCGGACAGGCATTGTGATTGGTTATATCCTGGACACGGCATTGTGATTGGTTATATCCTGGATAAGGCATTGTGATTGGTTATATCCTGGACAAGACATTGTGATTGGTTATATCCTGAACAAGACATTGTGATTGGTTATATGCTGGACAAGGCATTGTGATTGGTTATATCCTGGACAAGGCATTGTGATTGGTTATATCCTGGACAAGGCATTGTGATTGGTTATATCCTGGACAAGGCATTGTGATTGGTTATATCCTGGACAAGACATTGTGATTGGTTATATCCTGGACAAGGCATTGTGATTGGTTATATCCTGGACAAGGCATTGTGATTGGTTATATCCTGGACAAGACATTGTGATTGGTTATATCCTGGACAAGGCATTGTGATTGGTTATATCCTGGACAAGGCATTGTGATTGGTTATATCCTGGACAAGACATTGTGATTGGTTATATCCTGGACAAGGCATTGTGATTGGTTATATCCTGGACAAGACATTGTGATTGGTTATATCCTGGACAAGACATTGTGATTGGTTATATCCTGGACAAGGCATTGTGATTGGTTATATCCTGGACAAGGCATTGTGATTGGTTATATCCTGGACAAGGCATTGTGATTGGTTATATCCTGGACAAGGCATTGTATCATCTCAAATTATATGTTAGGTTTCTTGGAGACCAATTTTATCGTGTCATAAATCTGCAAGGCACCATCATGTTTATCATAACGTATAGTTCATACATCATACTAATTTATTATTTTTTTCTATTTTTCTTGAAGATGACGGCATATCACCCATATCTAATCAGACGTACATCCAAACTGACCCCCTACAAACCTCCGCCCCTGAGACAGTTCAACAAGAAGAAAAAACGTAGAAAAGAGGCGGGGGCGCCCGTGGTAAAGACAGCACGCCCCCAACAGACCGACATCGTCAGGCATGGCAGTGACTTCACCACCAATGGCCTTGTCTTCCCGTATGATGGGCGCCAAGGTCTTACTCAAAATGGCGGTCTTCCCGAAGATGCCAGGAAGCGAAAAAAGTCTCACAAGAAGAATTGTTTGTTATGGAACAGTTGTTTTGGAAGAAAGCGGAAATGAAAAATTTTTTTGTGGAAAATAAAGTATGGACTTTGTTTTAAAATGTGACATGTTTGGTTGGATTGTTTATTCAGCTTCCGTGCAGTGTCCAGTCAAGGTGCAAGGGGGTGAAGGTCAAAGGTTAAGAGATCAACAATGATGCTACTTGGCGTCGGTATTCTTTATATTCATACTTTTCTAGGCATTGACACTGTTCCTGACATAGACACATTGTGCCGGGTATTGACACACCCAGCTGGGCATTGACACAGTGCTCTGGGGGGGGGGGGGGGGGTAGGAGGGATGGACAAATAGCTTTTCTTGGGTATGAAAATATATCGGAAGACAACAGACAAATCAGCAGATTTATTTTAAAATATTGAGCAGAATTAAAAACCAAAGAAGCTGTCAAACTTTCTGTGCTTAATTTTACAATTGAACGACTGAAATCTATTTTTTGAAGAGAAAATTAAAATTATGAAAGACTACGAACGACAATAAAAATTATTTTCAACATTTTTTTTATTAAGGTACATTCTATTATAAAGATCAACAAGACATAAATATAGAGATAAGTTATATTATAAAGATCAACAAGACATAAATATAGAGATAAATATGAAACTCAGCATCAAAAACGTCGACTTAAATCCCATCAAATGTAGATTAAAATGTACAGTGTGTAGAACAAAACAAGACCTATTCATTCAGTAAATGGTCATGAAATCTCGCCCTATAAAGTATAATGAGATTCGGAGAATGACTCGAAGATGTGGGCATTCAAGGGTTAATAATGCTAGCATTTTGGGAGTCCAAGGGTTAATGATGCAAGCATCTTGGGAGTCCAAGGGTTAATGATACAAGCTTCTTGGGAGTCCAAGGGTTAATGATACAAGCATCCTGGGAGTCCAAAGGTTAATGATACAAGCATCTTGGGAGTCTAAGGGTTAATGATACAAGCATCTTGGGAGTCCAAGGGTTGATGATACAAGCATCCTGGGAGTCCAAGGGTTAATGATACAAGCATCTTGGGAGTCCAAGGGTTAATGATACAAGCATCTTGGGAGTCCAAGGGTTAATGATACAAGCATATTGGGAGTCCAATGGTTAATGATACAAGCAACTTGGGAGTCCAAGGGTTAATGATACTAGTGCCTTCATGAAACAAGAGTAAGACAACTGTGGAGATCATTTTCTTAGCAAGCGTACCTTGAACTATGTTTTTCTCTGCTTGTTTTCTTAAAATCACACAACAAAGCAATCAGTCAGGTGACTGTCAATGGGACTCCCCCCCCCCCTCCGAACCACACACACGCTCCACGGGTGCCTATATATATATATATATATAACGGTTTGGTTTCGGTTAGGTTTAGGGTGGGTGAGGGTTGTTTCGGGTGGGTTAGGGTTAGGTTTAGGATGGGTTAGGGTTAGGGTTTGGGTTACGTTTCGGGTGATATACAGGTGACAGAAATTGTGACCAAATACTGAACAAATTTAGGATTAGTCGCTGGCTATAGGAAGGTCATCATTTCAAAATGTCAAGTCCCTGAGAATAATGATCTATTCAAGTATATATAAATTTGAATATTATATTTAAGTATATATAAAAATCTGAATGCTTAATTTAACAAATATAAATTTGAATAGTGAATTTAAGTATATATAAATTTGGCAAAAGAAAGAAATTGTTGAATAGAAAAGATTTCCATTAAACATAATTCTTAAAGAATTTTCGGTGCATTCTCGAATAAACAGGTACATCTCATCTCTAGCAGGGCCGTTCTTAGGCATAAGCCAGCTAGGCGACCGCCTTGGGCCCCAACAAGGCTCTCACACCATGTCATTATTCAGATCAATTATTACAGGGTTCTCACAACATGACATTATTCACACGTCCTTAGTAAGATCAAACTGACTTTCTGAGTCAGAGAGATGCTTATAAATTGACCTGTCTTTCCTCTCTCCCCATGGCTTTCCATCACACCGCCGTCTTTAACCCATAGATTCTAACTTTCATTGATGCGTTCTGATCAAGTCTTTTCGTGTTATTGTTTTAAAAAGTTTGTGATGTTTATATTGGCAACGTTGTTCAGTTAGGCAGTGGCAACATCTCTGTTTCAAGTCAGGCTATTGCTACCTCTCTATTTCAGTTACGTTATGGCTACCTCTTTAATTATTTAGGCCGCCTCTCTGTTTCAGTCAGACTATGGCTACCTCTCTATTGTAGTCAGACTATGGCTACCTCTTTAATTATCTAGGCCACCTCTCTGTTTCAGTCAGACTATGGTTATCTCTCTATTGTGGTCAGACTATGGCTACCTCTCTATTTGAGTCAGAATATGGCTATTTCTCTATTTTATTTAGACCGCCTCCCTGTTTCAGTCAGACTATGGTTACCTTTCTATTGTAGTCAGACTATGGCTACCTCTCTATTTCAGTTAGACTATGGCTACCTCTCTATTTCAGTTAGGTAATGGCTACATGTGTATCGAGTCTTGCCATCGTTTAAACTGTCAGTGCTACAACAAAAAGTAATCATTGCTTACGTCATCTCACATCACTTCATGCTTTACTTAATGACCTAGACTTTAGCAAGCAAAATTTGCTTCCGAGGCAAAGTCTTCTTCAGATGAACCATTGGTCATACATTGGTCATAAATTGATCATACATTGGTCATACATTGGTCATACATTGGTCTTACATTGATCAGGCATTGGTCATACATTGGTCATATGTCATCCTTTTGATTCGTTCACAAATTCAATATTTCGAACTCTTATCAAAGTCATGTTTTTCCCTAGATCATCAGTGACTCATCCCATTGAGGGTGTTAAACTGAATGGCAGTCAACATAAACATGGCCCTCATGGACTTATTTTAGTGGACAAATTATCTGCCCAGAGCATCCTAAGTCAATTAGTCATTGCACAGTGTGTCTCTAAGATGTTCTCTTCTGACACTTCAACACAGTGTGTCGTCTTTCGACCATTCAACATCGTGTGTCTTCTGACCTTTCAACAATGAGGGCCTGAATTCTTAGAATAACTCGTTGATTGATCTGAACTGTCTATGTTCGTTGGAGTTGTCATTTGATCGCTGTTTTTTTCTCTTCTGGAATCCGCGACATTCTGTGGACCATGGTCTGAGCTCCTAGTAGGTAATTTCATTGGTTTGAAAGGTTTCCCTGAGACTTTTGAGCTTAGCTTGCTTATTGAAGGAAGCAAACCTTTAGCCAATGGGCTATCTGAAGGCTGTTTTTTTCTAAGATCAGGGAGGAGTTCATAATTTATTCCAACTTTTTTCTGAGTGGTTGTCCTACTTACTAAGGAGGAAGATGTGTGGGTGTCACCCGTCAGTGAGAGAGTTGCAGTTTTATCTGGCCCAACTTTGAGACACCCGGTTTTATCGTGCACAGCTTTGAGCGTAGCCGTGTCATGGTGCACAGCTTTGAGCGTAGCCGTGTCATCATGCACAGCTTTGAGCGGGGCCATGGTCCTGGGCCTTCTAGCAATCTTAACTGGGTGGCTGAGGTTAGGGGGTCGAACTGCAAATTCATGACTGAGGCTTGGCAGAAGACTTGTTGATTTGCTCATTTCAAGTGAACTGGCAACTGCGCCCCGTTCTATGCCCTGAGACATGCCTTGAAATTGTCTCCGTGCTGTGCCTTGAGAAACGCCTTGACATTGTCCCGGTGCTGTATTTTGAGAGATGCCTTGACATTGTACCCGTGCTGTGCCTTGCGCTGTTCCCAAAGTTATGTCCCGATTTCTCTCTGAAGACGTGCTTTGAATTGCACCCTGTGGTGAGTCTGACGATGTTCTAAGGGCTTTGTCAAGGGATGCGTCTTCAGTTGTGCTATGAGCTTTGAACTTGGCCTTAGAATGACTTTTAGCACACTCATTAGGGCTCATTGCTACACTTTGAGATTCCCATTGCGTCAATCCGACACGTGTCGTAATTGCAGCTGTCTTCATTTTGTCCATGTTTGTCTTCATTTCGTCAATATTTGTCTTCATTTTTTCAGACCCTTTGTCACTAACAAGCAGCTTTGACCATTTTTTCATGTCTATATTTCTTTGACCTACAAAGAGAGTTTCTTGCATAGGTGATTCTTTGACTTCGAGAGTCTTTAACTTGCACTGAACAGTTTTTTTAATTGGTGGTATCTTGAATGTTAACCTTTGACCGTGTTCCGTAGCCTTTCGGACAGAGTCCGTGGCAGATAAATGGAAAGCCTTCGATGACATTGCTTCTGTGCAAGGCACATCTTTTAACGAATGAGAAGTGACAACTCTGTCTAATGTGTCTGTGCAGCGCAATTTATCTTCTATTATACTGGGATTAATCCTGCTGTTCGAACGGTTTGCTGCATGTCGACCTGATTTTATTTGGATTTTGACAGAATCTACAGGCTTTTCGAGACTTTCTACTTGGCCACTAGAAATATCATCCTGACTTTTGCGCCTCATTCTATCCATGATATTCATATTCATTATTTCAAGACCTGTCTCACATTTCGCACCTGGAAGGTTTTCATGTGTACGCTTAACGCTTTCCGTGACTTGAGAACCCCCTACAACGTGAGAAACCCCTACAACGTGAGAACCCACTACAACGTGAGAAGCCCCTACAACGTGAGAACCCCCTACAACGTGAGAACCCCTTACAACGTGACAACTGCCTAATCCATGTAAACGCCCTGCCGTCTGCCTTCTGTTGCTGTTGTTGGTGCTTTCCTCAATTTCTTCGCTGGTGTCTTGTCTTAGATCTGAAGCGTCGCCTAAGACATCTTCAGAACGTGCCGGCTGTCTCGTGCCGGTTCCATCATCACGCAAGGCTGTGCCGTCGGATGTGAACTCAACAGCTTCGGACGTTGTCATGGAGTCGAGCGGCTGTTCAAGGATCTCGTCGGGCATTTCGTTCTCCTCCATCGATAGGCCTGTGACGTCATCGTGGCTTTCTCGTTTGGCGAAGTCGGAAACGGACTCCGAGAAACGCTTGGGAAGTCTGGTGTCCGGCGACCTCGGCACATCATCAGGCTGCTGGTCATGCGTCCCGTCCGAGTCCG